CTTTAACCAGGCCTTTGGCTGATTGACACCTAAGAGACAGAACTTATTGAAAGAGAGATGCTGCATTCTGACACCACCATCCCTCTGTCCAAGCACTGTGATTGGAGAGTATTTAGTGAGATTCTAGCCCTGGATTGGAAGCTAGAGCTGTCCAGCTCTCCTTCCTCTCCCCACCCAGCATTCTTCTTATATGGTGTGCTTAATAATTACAGCAGTGGAGACTGTCTAGCTTTAGAGATACTAATATTTAGTTTCAGACTGGCACGAATTGTTACAAATTTATTCGGGCACATGCAACCCACTCTGTGGTGTTTTGTAGCTGTGTCAATCTGATCCAAATTTGGCACAAATCTGTACAATTGGCTGGTTCAGTTTGTATTTGGACAAATTGGTTGCACAGCCTTGAATTGCCTCCAGGGAAGAGTATTGTAAGCAACACTCTTGGAAATAATAATTAATGAAATGTATGTCATGGGCGACAATGTACTTTTCAGAAATAGCTGCCTAACCCTTTCCTTGGTGAAAAAAAGAAAATACTTTAGGCCACCAAGTTCAGTCCAAGTTAGGCACTTAAAAATACAATTGACTTTGATGACAGATAAGCATTTGCTTAACACTCTCTGAAATTAATGACTGAATTCCAGAAAACTCTGTATTACAGTATAATTTTGTGCATGTTTACTCAGAAGCCTCATTAAGTTAAATGGGACTTACTTCCAGGTAAATGTATATAGGATTGCAGCCTTAAAAGTACTTAGCCTTGGCTGCACTACACACATTGCTAATTTTTATTCAATTTTACAAAGAAAAATAATCTGTTTTATTGTTGATTTCAAAGTAATTTTTAAAAGGCTAGCTAACATTTCATAACCACATGCATGCAAAACTTCTGTTTTTATAGTTTTGGTGAAGGCCAAGGAGCCAATAAAGTATTGGAATAGATCTGATTATTCTAGGAAGTATAATTCAATCTGTTGTTTTTCACACAATTAAATGTATTTGGAAGCATATACCCATAATAATTATGATCTAGTCACAAAGCGTGCTTATTATCTGTGTTGAGTGCTTTATTAAAATGAATAACCAAATTACCGTCAACTCATGTAGCAAATGATTATTATATTATGTTTTCCCCCTCTCATATTGAGAATGCATTAAAATGTTAATATAAATCATTGTGTTTTGTATGGAGCCTATAATGTTCCTGATCTGTTTTCATCTTGGTCTTACAGTCATTTAAGTAGTATACAATGCTTGGTTCAGGAGCTTTAGACCCTAGTGGAACTATGCAAATAAATAAAGTTACTTAACTGAATCTGTGTGTTCTGAACTGGATTTTATTGTTCATTATTAAGTGACTTCTACGGTGACACAAACATTGTGTTTGAGAGAACTAGTGCTTTTAAAGCTAATAAAAGATGTTTTACTTGATGGAATTACAATGGCGTGACACAGACAATACCTACAGACTCCAAGAGCATTGTTTTGATATCGGGTCACATTATAGTGAACATACAAAGACATAGCCATGCCTTCTCAACCTCAAAACTCTACTGCAGACAGTGGCTTGCACATTTTATCACTAAATCCCAGTGAGCCTTTTCCAATAACTAGAGTTCCTTGTCCCCCTTTTCCTCAAGTGTAAGTAAAGAGCTGTCAGTTGCCAGAGATCTTGCTATTATTACAAGCATAGAGCCAGGTAGACGTATCTAAAAAGAAGGATACAATAGATCTACTACATGGAGTGTTGGTGTATTTTAAGATTCCCAGAGAAAGACCCAAGGAAAGCCACAAACTGCTGCCTAAACTACATGAAAGGCCATCTTTCCCCACATGAACTTTCCTATTATAATTTTCCTTGGAGGCCCTTCTTCAGGTCTCACTGTCATTAGAGGAAATACGGGTGGTGAAACTTGTCTTTTGTGATGCCCAGGTTATAGAATTGTTTCCCAAGAAGATTCATCTGACGCAAAGCCTCATTTTTAGAGGTTTTAGTGGATGCAACCCACTCTGAAAGTCTTTTGACCAAAAAGTAGGTTGTCAAGAATTCTAAATTAATTAATTAATATAAAGCCAGGGCTGGGCATCTGTGGCTCTCTAGGTGTTGCTGGATTAAAGCTGCCACCATCCTTGACCATTTGCCATGCTAGCTGAAGCTGATAGGAGTTACAGTCCACAGGTTCCCTAACCATGACTTCTAACACCAAAAACCAATGGTTTTTTTGGTGAAGCACACAGTCTCCTGTATTACATTGATTAGGATAGGGTGAGAAGTTGCAAATGAAGATGAGAACCACTTTCTTGACCAATCAAGGTGCATCCAAAATCTGATGCAAAGCTATTGCTTTTGCTTCCTTTTGTTAACTGCATTGGCATATGTGCAATTATGGTTCCATACACATGATCTGCCTTGGTGGATCAAGATAAGTAATTTAGGAACAGAGAGTAAAGATTCAAACATCAAAACTATGGGTTCATAGAATCATAGTTGTAGCCAACATTATTCATATTCAGAATGAGATTACGCATGTCTATTAATTTCAGTGGGTTTACTCTGAGTATGATTCACACACACACATTCTGACATGTATTTCTGACTAGGAGAGTCAAGATCCATTATGCATAGTGGAGTTTCAAAAGCAGTTTTTTTTATACAGCTTTGAGGGCTTCTGTTCAAAGATAAAAAAATTAGAATATCACACTGGGAATGTGCAATCTTTTGAAGGTGTTTAAATCAGCTCCTTAAGATGAGTGGGAGGGAAGTAATTTGTAACATTTGCATACTGCAAGATTTGCATTCCAGTACAAAGTTACCAGATTCTGTTAAACAAGGACTATTTATGGAGTAAATTGCTCTTTAAGGATTTAAGAGATGGCAGGATATAATTTGAAGATGCCTTAAGCAAATGTATTGCCTTTGTTGCAAGTGATGCAAAATGCTGCTAAATATCAAACTCTTCAGCTTTCGAAATTCATTTGCTGAGATTTGCAGGAGAGGACCAACTTCTGTGTCTGTTGGGAAGGACATACAACAGGGCCTTCTTGGTTGTGGGGCCTGCTCTATGCTTTCCTTTCCTAGAGGAACCTGCTAGAGTTCTTCCCTGTAGATTTTTAAGAGTCAGGTGAAAACTTCTAGTTCAAACCAGCAGTTGGCATGTGATTTGAATTAAAAAAAAACTTTTCTCTGCTATATTTATTGATTAATGTTATTTTACTATGTCTTATGAGTTATTGTGAACTGCTTGGAAATTTCTGAATTGGAGGGTGGTTTAAAAAAAATTGACACCATTTGACTTTTTTATTGCTTTATTGTATTTTGTATTTTTTTAACAAAACAAAACCCCAGCTATGTCTCCTCAGGAGGAGTCTTCTCCAGTAACATGTCTGAAAATTTATTAGACAAATAAATAATATGTAGCATGTCAGTGGGATTTTAGAATGCTTTTTTCAGACTTCTCGAGCTTAAAAAGGCATATAAAGAAATAATTTCCATTGATTTTAGTAGAAGAGCATGTCCTTGCTTGGGATCACAGGCTATAAAGTTTCAGGATCATTGTCCAACACCTTGATCTTAAATGCATGTGTTGGATTAAGTCCTACTGATATTAATATAATTTAGTGCCAGATAAGTTGCATGCAAGAACTGTGAATTGGAGAGGGTTGATTGGACCTTGGTGACATTAAGAGCAGAAACAATGTATGAAAATTAACACATTTCCCTATGCAGAACCCAGGAATCTGCTCATATAAAGTCAAGAAGGGCGCTTCAGATAATATAAATAAGGCTCATAGTGAAATCAAACAGAGCTTATTTTACCCTTGCTGAAAAATTGGCCTCCAATAGCAAATCTGTGGTTTGTAATTTCATTTAAAAAGGAATGCTTATGCTGAAACAGGTATTTTTTTCAGATTCTACTGGCATTTTGTCAAATAATTATATACAAATAGTCAGATCAGGAGTTTAACACAGACCTACAAAGCTATGATCCTTTATATCTCCACTCACTGTATGAAGTATGAATGAATGCTTTACTAAAGGATTATTGAAATGTTCACCAATGAATCTCTTGCAAATCCAAGGTAGATTAGTCTTTCCAGACTTGAATATATCTATCTTGTACATAAAATTAGCTACTTGTCTGTCAGCCACTGTAAATACATATTTGAGTATAAATGATTTTGACATTGGATACATTCAGACTGAATTCATCATGTAACCGTCAAATGATTTCAGTACAAATTTTTAACCATGGAAAGCAATTGCTTTAGTATCTATTGTAAAACTTCTGAAAGAGCAATTTGATACATGACTTCTCTGAAGTAAGCCCCACTGAGTTCAGTAAAACTTACTCCCATGTAAGTGTATGTAGGCTTGCAGCCTTAATGTAGTTAATAAAACTGTATTGGGGGGGGGGAGAGACTGGGTTAGTATTGTATTTGTATAGTAGAAATATATCAGGCTTGGTACATTACCTCACTTTTTTATTCTTTGCATATTTGCAAAATTATTTCCAGCAGTTGTGTGTTTCTGGGGAAGAAAGCAAGGTTTAATAGTTATCTACATACAATGTGTACCAACTTTTCTAATGTTTTCATTTTAACAGTGTGCTGGAGAAACAAATTTATGCTGATAAACATCAATAACATATTATTTTAACAGATTGCTTAGAATGAAAATAAAACCCAAAGCAATGGCTATTCCTTGTGTCATAGTAAATATAAGGATTTCATTTTAGTAAAATCTTGCCTAATAAAATTAAAATATTGCAAATAAATTTATTTCTAGTGCAGTTTAATGAACCATTATAAAGAACACTTTGAGTATGACGTTTAAGCGATATAAAGAAGGCAAGCATCTCTGTTTATACTGGCTCCATGAACAGATCCAATAGAAATATGTGGATTTTGACCTTAACCTTCCATATATGGTAGGTGTCTATCCCATGATATATTTTTTTTTGCCAGTGCTAAGCAAATAGAGACCCTTGGTGTATCAGCTTAAGACTGTTAGGCATAACTTTTTTGCTTGGTGGAAAGTTTTATTGATGGATTTTCTTCCGAATGTATACCAGTTGGACATTGCAGCCAGAAGGTATTTTCTATTTATGAGAGTTGTTTTCAATCACAAAGTTTGTTAATGGAAGGTAAGGCTATACTCAATATATGATAACAGAGTCTGAGACAAAATTATGAATGTGAGTCGGAAACCAGTTTTAGTTAGGGCATTTGAACTTGTATAAGTAAGCTATGTGTACAATTCACAGTGTTTATCTCCTTGTGAGAAAATTATTTGTATTGTGGAGGAGGCTGTGCTTATTTATAAACGTATATCTTATGGTGAGATTGGTTTAAATAGCTCAGAATAACTCTGTTATTGTGGGTGGGGGGCACTGCTTCTCTGGTGATGTGTAGTTCGATTTTTCGAAGAACGGTAATTGTATTAAAATATCATTCTTTTAAAAAGACATCAGTTACCAAAAATATTCCCACTAGATTCTTTCCTAGCTTGAGTTTTTATGTACACAAAGGACAGATAAAAACACAATTAATGTAAAAAGACACTGTGCACCACCAAGTATGAATAAGGATGAGGTGCAATTGCTCTAAAAATGAAATCCAAGTCGAAGTGTGTTTAAATGATTCATTTTGCCCACCATCATTTGTATCTGCACATTATGAACTGTTGAAAGGTTTGTGGTTATCGTGTCAGATTGCTTGATGTTGGCACAGGGCAGGGTTTAGTGTAGGTTAAATATTTCTGAACTGACTTTTTATGTGGATATTTTTGCCTCTTTCCTTGCGCAGCAGAGGACGAATCTGCTACGCGCGCCCAAGTCAAGTTCAGACGTGAATGTTGCGTGATATTATTATTATTATTTTTGTAAAGAGTGGACTCGATCGTCCCCTTCCTTATGGAGCTTCTCCCGGCTGGATCCCGCGTTTTGTCGTCCGCTTCGGGCTTCTCGTAAGAAACCTCACTTAAAAGAAACTGCCCCGTTCAGAGGGGCTTAAATCCGCCCCCCCCCCCCCAATATCCCCCAAGGCTCTCGGCTGAGGAAAGCTAATTATGCTCTCTCTTGCTCGGAAGGTGGAGAACTGGCTTTCCCGTGCCTCTTCTCCGAAGCTATAAATGGTTTGGTGGTGATGGTGCCTCAGAAGCAGCAGCAAAGCGAGAGAGAGGGAGAGGGAGAGAGAGAGAAATCCCGCGCGCTTCTTGACAGGGCGCGCTCGGGCCGCATTCTTCCCCCACAGCTGTTTATTCACATACCGCGGGATCCTTCATTTGCATACCCAAACTGCTCGCCAGCAAAGCTTTGCCTCTGAGGCAAGCCAGCCCAGGGCTCTCTCGGTTCGATTGTGTTAGCATTTATTTATTTTTTAAGGACAAGAGAATAGCTGTGGTTTGCATTACAAATAAACAAAAGGGGGAGAAGGAAAGAGAGAGAGAGAGAGAGAGAGAGAGAGAGAGAGAGAGAGAGAGAAGCCTCGAGGCAGACCTACAAGACTGGGCAAAAAAATAAAATATAAAACCACCTATATGGAGAGGGGGAAGAGATGAAGATTGGGCTGCCGCTCCTTTGTCTGCTCAGCCTCCCCACAGATAATATCTCCGGCCGCCTTCGCTGAGGAGCCGAGCGGGAGAGAGAGAGCGCGCGCGCCGCGGCTTCTTCCCGAAGCGGCGTTTGAGCGGGAATTTCGGAGCGGCGGCGGCGGCGTCCTCCTCAGAGCTGGGTGCTGCCGCTGCCGGAGACGGGCCCCTCGGTGCCACTTCCGACTTTAAGCCTTCCTGGGAAAGCCCTCGGTGGCTGTTTTCAATTTCTTCGCCGAAGACACAGCGCCCTCCCTCAGCTCCGCTCCCCACAGCCACCCCACCTCTCTCTCCCTCCCTCACACACACACACACTCGCTTGGCAGGCACAGCCCGCGGCGGCGGCGGCGGCAGCAGCAGCAACAGAAGTCAGTCAGTCCAGTCAGTCTCTCGCTCGCTCCTCAGCCACCCTCTGCTCTCAACTCGGATTTTTTCCCTCCAGACTGAGCTGCGCTTCTGGTCGAGGGGGGACTTAAAAAATAAAATAAAAAGTAAAAACTTTTTTTTTTTTTAAAGCCCAAACCAGGCTAAAGAGAGAGAGAGAGCTTTACACCCAGGAATTTTTAAAAAACCAACCAAAACAAAACTATGTGAGCAACGGTTGGTTGGGCTTTAAGTTAAGCGCCAGCGTGAAGGCAGCCCATAATACTTGGTGGATGCAGCAAAGCCGTTCACTGTAAGTACGAACCCGGCTGTTTCAAAAACTGCATGGATTTGACAACAGCTGCCCCATCTTGCAAAACAGGGAGAGAGGAAGGACACTTTTTTGTTTTTGTTTTTGCTTTCAGACGAAAAGCACCTTCGTCCGTGGCCTGTTTGCAAAACAAGTTTGTACTTTTCCAAGAATCTCAGTAATCTTCCACGACTGGATCTCCTGCACGTTTCTTTCTTTTTCTTTCTTTCTCTTTCTCTCTCTCTCTCTCCCCCCCCCCAACTCCCAACTCCAATTAATATCTAATATACGTCACTTTTTGCAGTTAATTGTGTTTCCCGGCTGGCTCCCCACAAATCAAATGCTACATGGCTCTCAGCTCTTTATTTGTGTTCAGCTTGCATTTTGTGCCTTGTGTTTGGGTTTTCTAAAGTGTTCGAGGGTCACTGAAAATAAAGAACACAATGCTGAGTGATTTTATATATATATATATATATATATATATATATATATATATATATATGAATTTTTATAGACGTGGCTGAAAGGCACAAGAATTCAGAAGAACAGAGAAAGGGGGACATATGGCAGAGACTGACAGCTCTTGCCGAAGCAGGAAATCCTGCTTAATATGTTTAAATGCTGGCAAAGCTCTGCTGAACCTTAAAGGAGGGCTTTATCAAAATGGCAAAATAAACAGCTCCCTGACAATATTATATATGACGTTAGGTACTGCTGGAAACTCAACACTTCGAATTAGGAAACGACCTCTTTAAAGCCCAGGCATACTTTACATCATGTTTATGAATCTGCTTACTCACGAAATTTATAAGAATGTTTTTCTTGAAGCTGTTTTATGAACGTCAAAATATTCTTTAAAAAAATCCAAAAAACAACAACCAGCCATCAAATTATATAAAATTACCCTCGAGCCCAAATTTTAGGTGCACTTTAATGGGGAGGGGGAGTGCAGAAGTCACTTTTAAAGCCAATAATAAATGTACGTTTATCTTTTAATGAAAGGAAAGTCCAGATGGTCAGCTTTAGGGATAATTTTTTTAGATCATCAGAATGGTGTGAGTGTGTGTGACTTGTTTTGTTTTTTGTCTCTCTCCCCCCTCCCCTTCATGCATACTTTCTGGAATCTGCATTTTAAGGTTTCTTGGAGGTTTCTTTCTACTAGCCTCAAGAGAATTATAGATTTCATAAATGCATGACGCTGTGTGTGTATAAAATACATATTAATGGAATTTTGGCATTACCTGAGGTTCAGCTTTGTTGCTTAATGACCTATCTTTAGCTTTAGGAAGCTGAAAACCCAGCACTGTGACAGATTTTTTTTAAAAAAACAAGCCATTGTTTCAGTTGTGGTGGTCGCAGCAGGGGTTAACACAGATCCAAATGAGAGGGAACAAATGAGTGGGGTTTTGTTGAATGTTTAATAGTAACTAAAAAGTTGTTACACAAAGTGCAACATACAATGCAATGCTGGGCATGTTTACTTGGAAGTAAGTACCATTGTGTACAAACTAAGAGACTTTAAGACTGCAACTTCAAAGTTACATTTTTGTTGTTTCAGAAGCATTGTCACAGTGACATATGTCTTCTGTTTTTAAATTTCAGTGATATGTCAAAATTTCAGATGTATTTAGGGAGATTATCATTATAATATTCTGTTTGGGGGATTGATGCACTAATTTAATCTAGTTTTAATAATATGGTTACATTTTTAAAGCACATGGTTTAAAAAAGTGCATTTAAATACTTTAGCATTTGGAGGTAGCCCTTATTGAAGATTGGCAGGGTTTTGTAAAATACTGAAGTTAAGAATTGTGGTTTTCTTCATTTTTTAAATTTCCATTTTTGTCAATGTTTTATGTTGAAGATGTTAACTTTGCGGGGGGAAATGCAGTTTCAGATATAAAAAAATATGATTAGAAAGTTCCCATTGTCTTTACGATTTCTGGTTTAGATCACAACTGTGGTTGAAAGTAAGTTACTAACTCACATGTGAGCTATATTTGTTTGAATAAGCATAGCATTTTTTACTTTGATTTTTTTCTTTCAGCTGGAAGAAATGTTCTAAATTATAGTCATTTTATAAGAATTGCTTCTAGCAAGTGAAAAAAAGTCTGGAAAACCAATAATTTAGACAAGTACCTACATTTTATTTGTTCTATGGTGCTGAGATTTAGAATCCCTTCCCATTTACAGTTTACTTTTCACAGAACATTATTAACTTTTTGGCTTCGTACATGATTTTCTGTCAGATGCTTTTGATTTGTAATTTACCAAAGTATAATAAACAGTGCAAAAGTCATGAATTTTCTCCTGCATCTTGAGCTCTGTGGTAGGGAAAATGTGATAAAATGTGTACCTTAAGTCTTGTTTGATGATCTCTCAAAGCAAGTTTGCCTTCTGGAAATAATTTCTGGGGTTGAAGAGCATGGTATTAACAGATTTAATGTGGCTATTCAGTGGATTGGTGGAGTACTATGTGAGGTTTAACAAAATGAGAGCGACAAATTGAACATCAACAAAACCTACATCTGTGAAGAATTATAAATTTAATTAGAAAAAACCCAAAATTAAAAGATCTCATTAACTAATCAGAATTAGACGTTACTGCTTTAAGATACTTAAGTGTCATTTTGGTGTTATTTAAGATGCTAGTAGCTTTGCCATCACAATCCTTTCTTTTTCATTTTAGAAATACTAAGAGGCAATGTTAGTCAAACATTTTTTAGCCTTTTAAAGCCACTTCCTAAGTAGTAATCATGTGATTTTTCATAAGGAGCAATAAGTTTTATTTAAAATATTGTTGGCCTGATTTCCCTGGGCATAGCATTTGCTCATTGTAGCAATTCTCCCTCCCATTTTTAAAGTATTCTTTCTTGAGTAGATTTTAATTATTGCTGTAATCTTCCTACTTGTGTAATAATTAATGAGCCATAGAAGACCATATACTTTGTTGGTAAGGCTGTATTAGATGACAGTAGATGCAGACATATTAAAGTAGCAGTAACGGTGAAACGCTATTCATACATATGTTGCTTTCCAAAAACTGGGCATCCTAAGTGCAGTTACTCACTGCACTGTAATTTTGCATCCTGCATAAAAAATTGAAAGCATGTAAAGTGTAGCATTTTGTAAATTGTAACTAATTTCACCAACATCTGTGTCTAATTGTTGTCTGCATTTGCATTCTTGAGAGTAGATTTATTTTTCCTGTACCACTATGTGGATTCACTTGACCAATCTAAGTAAGGATTAGTAGTTTTAAAGTTATTTTGATTAAAGAATCATTTTTAAATACCATAACACACAACACATGGTTTAAATAATCCTTAATAGGAAAAGGACTGTAACTGAAGTATGACGAATGAAAATGAAGGTCTTGGATATGAACTCTCACAGCTTACAGAATCTTAAAAAGATATGCTAATATCTGCAGCATATGAGATATATATATATACACTAGTAGTTATTTAAAGACAGAGGTAATAGAATATTTTCAGAACAATTTTTGTTCATTGTCTGTAATTGACAAATTATATTCTACAACATCAGCAAAATAATATACAAAACATTAATACATATTACTAGAAGTTCAATTAAAATTATTATATTTAAATGGCCCTCCATATTGTTAATAAGAGATAACTGTAAAGTATGCATCGTTCCCTCCTATAATTTATTAAAGGTGTACAGAAGTACAAGGAGAGAACATATCCTAAAGCCATTCCACCGCAGTGTCTAGGGTTAAGGGTAAAAAGTTTCCATCTTACACTTGGGTCTTTTGTATTTTCCTTTTTAAAAAATGTCTTAGCTGTTGCAAATACACATTTCATACTCCAGTTTGATTTGGTTTGCTATGGTCTATTAAAAAGCACACTATGCAGCATTTTAAATACCTTTGGTGGGGGGAGAGTTACAGTTTTCCTATCTGTGTTAGTACATGCTTTTTGCTATTGTGTGTAACATTATATGTTGTCTGGCTGCTTATACGAGTGGTGTACTCCTGCTAAAGTAGTAATTCTGTCTGTGATTAAAAATAACAAAAACTAGAGGCACACAAGTGAGATTTTCCTGGATGACTTTTATGGCACTTAAAATGCCTCATCTTGCTTGTCTTTGTTCTGTGATCATGTAAGAGATGTCAGTTCAGGTTGGGTGGAATTCTGAATTCAGACATTTAGACAATGTATGTCCTTGCTGGGGAAGTTTTGTTTGTGCTTTCAAGCCAGCAGCCAGTCTTCACCTGGGCTTTATCACCTGCTGGCAGTTGTTAGTGGCTTTTTTGGCGGGTGTGTGTGTGTGTGAGAGTGAGTGAGTGTGGAAACTGGTATCAAAGGCTATTCATTTAAACACAACCTTACACATTTTTTAATAACATGCAACAGCACTGCACTAAACCAGTGAGGGTCTAGATTTCAAACATTATTGAATCTCTCGTCCACCCTAGTCCAAAGAGTGTACATTCACAGAGAATGCAAAAGAGCAATTCATGACCACAGAGTTCATTTTAGAAATATATTTTTGCATACTGCTCATATTCATTCATTCTGAAGTGTATGCTCTTCTTTTTTGTTTAACTTTATTGTAGGAAGAGGTGCAGATAAGAGGAAGGGGAATTTCTGGCCTAGATAAACATAAACATTCGGAAACTTTCAGTCAAATTATAGGAGCATAGCATTGCATTTGACTTTAAATCCTTCAGCGTTGGTTTGCAGTCTTCAAAGTTGGCTGGAAACTGGACTTGCAAACTTAAATGACGGAGTGGAAGGAGGAGGGAGGGATGAAAACTAACATGATAAGGATAAGAGACTGTCAAGAGTTAAAGGAGTGGGAGGGTGCTGTGTTTCAGCCAGTGATAACAAAAACTGAAAGATCTTCAGAGGATGCTGGGGGAAAGCATTAGGGAGCTTCTTCCCTTTGCTAGATATATTTTCTCTGTTAATAGCTACCTTACCCAGGCACCTCTTCCTAAACTACCTTAGCAAGACTGCTTTGCATGTTGATTGGGGGAGGGGAAATCCAGTGTGCAGCTGTCATAGGCCAGTGATGAATCACTATCCCGTCATTTGGCTGCCTTCCCCATGACATGGGCAAGGGGGGGTGTGGATAGACCTGCTGGAGGAAACAACAGTTGAGGCTTCAATTTAAAGACAATATGTCTTTCACTGCAGCAGTAACCCCCTCCTTCTCTTTTGGTTAAAAGACAGCATTACCATCCCCAGGAAGATTTCTTTGTTTAGTTAGATTAAGACCTGACATGAACGTAGAATAACAGAGGCTTCTATTTGTGTCCCTGGTTTGCAGGTGCAAAAATCCCAAACCAGTTCAGATGTTGCTGTTTCATCCATTTGCAGGTAAGGATAAGATCAAAGTGGCCTTTCTGTAGGGGGAAAAAACTACTTAGAATGAAGTTATTTTACTCCATGTGAAAGATATGAATGATATTCGATTGTTGTTCATTTTAAACTGGAGAATATTGTTTCACTGCTTTGAGAAGTAATTTAAATATGCACTTTTAAATAAAGGTTCTACTCAGCACTAAAATGTTTTATAATTCATGTATACACTTCTGTGTATTTTAAAATTGTTTGGATTTGGTCATGAAAGTAACACCAGTAGTCTAGCATTTAAAAGGACTCCAACTGGTAATTTTTAAATGGAGCATTATTAGTGAGAAAATTTGTAGTGTAAAAGCAATATAACTGTGGAAAATACATATTTATGTTAGAAAATGTGCAATGGAATTCTGTGCATGCTTCCTTGGTAGTAAATTCCACTGAGTTGAGTGGGGTTTACTCCTAAGGAGGTGCACAGCTTTGCAACCAAAGTTAAACTGATTTGGGGGACTTCAAGTATACTGTGCAAACTTTTCCTGATAATATTTAATCCAAAAATATTACGAAAGCAAAATATGTTAGCATATTGTAAACTCTGGGCTTAATGCAAACTGATACTTCATTACATAGAAATGAATAAAGTGTTCCAAAACTTTCTTCATGCCGAAGGGCCCTTATTCTAGAGTACATGATTTGAACATTGCCCCTTAACTATATTATGCAGATCTTCTATTCAGTATAAATCTAATGGAAGTTGAGTATTATAAAAGATATTATGATCAGGAATCGTAAGCACAGTTAAGATACAAGAAAGGCAATATATTCTATAAAATATTGACAATTTGCACTGATTCTGTTCTTGTTTCACTTTAAGTGACAGTTCAAGTACTACAAAGTGCTAAAGCATACTAATGCCTGTATGGATTCACTGTATATTGGCCTTATCCCTTTTCAATTGGGCACGCTTTATGTAATCCACAAAGCAAACAAGAGAGCAGACATAATAATGTTTTAATGCTGCATTTGTTTCAACGGAAACAGAAGAACAATTAAGTAGTTTGCCAGAGTAAACACATACATCAGGAATATCTCATTCCTTGTCAGTTGAGCGTAGGTTCAACTATTGCTTCAAGTGTTTTATTTGGTTTGGAGGCCCATTAAATCGTAATTGGGTGGTAAATTATATGCAAGCGAACAGTGTGACTGTATTGCACTTGGGATGTACTTTTCAATGCATTTTCATTTTTGTCTCTAATTTTGCGCTTTATAAAAATGTGTAGACAAGCAGGTATAAATGTATTTTAAATCTGTTAAGGATTGTGTATTATACAAAGCCATTATGAAATGAGTGTATGAAACGACTCAAAAATGTAAGGCAAACTAAGGAAGTAATAATGTGTATGAAATAGTAAAATCAATGGTAGGACATGGGTTGTACTTCCACAGTCAGATCTGAAAGCAGTAGTCAATTTTTCTACTCACTTTTTTTTTTTAGGTCTATGGAAATGCAGGATCTAGCCAGCCCTCATAGTCGACTAAGTGGTAGTAGTGAATCTCCCAGTGGTCCAAAACTTGATAATTCTCACATAAATAATAATTCCATGACACCCAATGGCACAGAAGGTGAGTTGTTGGTGGGGTTTTTTGTGATATGATGGGTTTACTTTAGACCTCAATTTTCACTGAGATGGTAAATGTGTGTCTGGACTATGCCACTTCGGATTAAAGGTGGGGGCTTTCATGACAGAATACTCCTTCATACAACAACAGTCTTCTGCACATAGACAAAGCAGCATGTCAGGGAAAGTATCCTTCAGCTTCCTGCCAGCTAGCTTTCTATCTGGTGGATTTTACTATTATTTTGGATGGAGGAGCTCCCATCTGGAAACTGAAATGGTAGAGCCTTTACACACTAGTTTACCACCTCAGATTGCCAGGCCTTACCTTTTTATTAGATATGAAATACTGTATAACTAGATAACATTCCAATGGTTATTCATGAGCACTTACTGAAGTTTGACTATAGCAATGACAGTGATGAGAAACATCTATCAAATGAGTTATCCATTTACCTACTATTCCCCTGCCCTTTACCCAAAACATTTTTTTTGGTCTGAGTTCTAACTGAAGACTATTTGGGTTATCAGATTATACTTTTAGCCTCCATTCCCTCTAAATCTAATGGAGCTGCATTGTATTTTGTCAGTTAGACCATTTTTGTCCCCTTTCTCTAAATTAAAATAATGCAAATTTGTATCTTTAGGATTGCAACCTTAGTCAATATTAATGACTGACCACTGCCTTTTGGATAAAGACATCTGATTGGGGATGTAGTCATAGCATGCTTACCTGTGAATAAAGATCTTTAAACACAGAGACTTGATTCCAGACATGCAGAGGACTGTGCTGTTTATCTTTTTTTGTGTGCACATACACCACTGACTTCTGATTTTAAAATTGGAATGTAAGCATACTGTTTTATCTTAACAAAATCCAGAAAACTTTTCCTGTTGATAGACACACTTACATCGAAGTTAAGTTTTAATGTGATGGCTCCAAGTAAAGAGAAAAATGCTGCACTGGTAAGGAGAAAAAGAACTCCTTTAATAGGACCAACCAATGTGTTCTGAAATTGTGATTTCCCCAGAAGTCTTTATCAGGCAAGGTATCCCCCAGAGCAAGGGATAATGGGTGCATGAGGAAATGAGGAAAAATAAAAAGGAGTACAAAAATTAGTCTGGATGTTGAATCAAGGTTATATTTTAGAGATTGTAGACTGCAGGAACACAGCCTGAAGCACCGCCCTTTAATTAATTAGTTAACAATTTAAAAAAGAAATGGAAAACTTCTGTACATTTTTGTACGTATTCTTTTGGGACATGTGTGGAAAAGGTACTAGCTTTTTCATTTTCTTTGCAATTTTCCTTTAGGTGACATGACTCTGCTCAGCACTGCAGACTGGTTGTTAAATACTAATACACAGACCACTGCAGGTTTGTGTAGTAACGGTGAATGCACAGTTATTAGCATGCGTTTTAAGGTTTGCAAAATATTAAAAGGTTCTGACTGATTGTATCTTATCAAAACTGGAAATGCTGTGGTTTGCCCTCATTGATAAATAAGCAAAGTCATAACCCTTTATATGATTTCCATAGGTAAACTCCCTTGAACACTACAGCTTCCAATTTGGCATGCATAGGGTTAGGGTATAAATATAGTTTTCAAGCAAAATGTTAGCACAAAAGCCAATTTCTAAATCGGTTGCTGTGAGGCGGGATAGGACTTTGCTTCACAATTACTTATATAGTAACTAAGGAATACACGAGAGCTGTTTTATCTCCTTAAAATGAATTTGATGTTTTTTTTGTGTTGGGATGTATTACTTACCCTTGTCCCTATTTGTTTTCCTTTTGTTTATCTGTTGGGGGTAGAGGATAATAATGGTCTAGGACAGACGGTTGGATAGTAATAGTAACTTGGAGGCGGGCAAGAGAGTATAAACTATTAAAAGGAAATCTTACTTTAAATAAAAGTATTTTGAAAAATCATAGGATTGATGGAGATGCTGTTAGTGTTTGGTTTCCACGTGCTTCTCTTGAAATTAATGTACATAATGTGTAATCTGCTTGTTTGCTGCATGTGAGATAGAAAGATGTCACTGAATAGTCAGGTGGTCAACGTCTGATGGTAGAATGGATCAGATTCTAATGTGAACTCTGATGTCACTCCTATGGCAATCTTAATCCTGTTACAGTATGTGTTTTAAATTAATTCTGAAGTAAAGTTAAGTTTTATGTCATTATAGACAGGTCAAGCTGCTTTCACTGATTTTTTTTTTTTAAATGTACTAAATAAAACAGCTCTGTCCAAACCCCTTTAATTCCTTTCAAATGTGCTGCAGGAGGATGTGGTTGATAGATATCTATCTGTTAGTAGCTAATATTTTTCACTTCACACTTAGTGGTTAACCTTTTACGGCAAGAAATTGGGATGTAGATGGGTGCCAGTGGTCTGGTATAATCAAAGTTTAGTGTTGATTCCTGCAGCATTAGTTCAAGAATGAACTAAATTATAGAAACTCCTTGTTTCAGTATGTGGAAAATGTTACTTTCTTAACATGATCCTCAACATATTTCTGCAGAAGGGCACCAGGATGTGAAAGTATTTACTTCAGCATTAAGTATAGTTGCGACTGAAGTTTATTCATTTAGTTGTTTAACAGAGACTTAGCCATTCTTGCAATAAATCAGTTATAGAAATAGTTGTATGCCACATCTAATGGGCCATAAATTCATGTTAGGAATATACGAAATTTTAGTTTTCATCTCACTCAAGCCTTGCTCTGAGCCAAGTTGGAAAACTGTAGCTTATACCTGATACGGGGGGAAATAATAATTGGTAGTTGGTGGAACTGCATAAGTGCTTCCCAAGAAATAACTTTTGTGGATAATGAATGAGAACAGAATTTACCAATACAAGATGGGATGTCATGATTGGCACAAAAAGCCTTGATTGTTCAACCAGATAGTGGGCATTCCGGCAATAGTCTATCAATATAGAACTACCTAGTGCAAGATGTGAATACTGAAGGGAATAAGCAAATTTGAGTTTAAATCAAACTGCTAATGGCATGAAGTGCCATTTTAGGATGTAAGTAGCCATGATTCTCAGAATAAGAAAGGAGAACCATTTCCTCAATTGCTTTCTAGACTACGGCTAGCAAACATAGTACACTCAATACATGTTGGACTACAATGCCCATCAGCCCTTACCAGCTTCTATCTGATCAAAAAAATGTATGCTACATTCACTTCGCAGTTAAGCTGAGGTGTGTACATTTGAGACAGGAGATGCATATGCATAGACGAGAGTTTCATGAATAGGAGTTAGGAGGGTGCACATGCATGGAAACAAAACAGGTAATGCACATTGGTTGAAAATATCCCTGCCTCCTCTCTGGTGTGTACAGCAATCTGCAAGTGTGACTTGAAATTTGAAATGTGACTTAAGCAAATGTGATGTTTAAGCAGAGGTTGGATGGCCATCTGTTATGGATGCTTTAGCTGAGATTCCGTCATTGCAGGGGGTTGCGCTAGACTACCTTCGTGGTCCCTTCCAACTCTGCGATTCTGTAATTCTATGAAACACAATTAGGAAGAACAACCTCACTGAATGATTGGTGTTGTAGTACATAATGTCTGCAGTGCACCTGGTCTGTTATACCTGCTACAGAATATATATATTCTTTTGCATATATATACTGTGCTAAAGTTGTCAGTTGGTTTTAATACTGTGGTAGACTAGCTGATATTAAAAGTTCTGTTTGGCTTGTTTTAATAGAAAATGGATAACTGTATGTGGCTGTTGTATGTGCTGTTATGGAATGTGTTGAGTATGTGATTTATATTTACGTGTGTACTGCTTCATTGCAATTACTTCTTTTCTTGTATGCCTGCTTGTGTAGTGTTATTGTGAGAAATATTGTGCAATGTTGTATTGGACATAGATACCTTTTACAGGAAAGGTACACTGTACTCCTTAGCCCAATATCCCCTTGAGCAATAGGTACAGCTCGCAAGATGAATCCATTTTGTGAAAGGGATCCTGCTGTAGGGCAGGCAGTTTGGACTTGATAACCCACTGAACTTTAGAACCTAACACACACAATATATTATTATGATGCCAGCAGATCTTTTGGGGAGTGGCTGTGTGTAGGTGGGTGCTTTATAAGAATTAATGTATTTTAGGTGGCAGAATACTAACACCCTGGCAATAAATGCAGTGGGTGAAATCCAAGAGCTATGGGGGCAGTTTCTATGCATTCTAAGTTGCAGCTTCTAAGTTTGAATCAGTTTATGATACTTCTGCCTATTGAATCAGTTTATGATACCCAAAACACTTTTTATGGAAGTCAGGGACTTTTTAGGGTGGCCTCTGACGCAATATGTGCTTGGAAGAGGAGACAACAAGTATTTGATCTTTATATCTTTTCACATCCCACATTGGGACAGCTGACCTAAAAGCCATTTTTGCAACAAACTCTGGCAATACATGTGGGAAAGTTGTTCTTTAGATCTGAAAGGAATATGGTTTGCATTTTCTGAATGAGTCATTTTATAGGCAAGACATATCTCAAGTTTTATGTTTCATTTATTGGACTGAAGGTGCAAGGTGTTAGATTCTACTGTGTATCTTAAGGAAAGAGGAAGGATAGCATTTGTTTTTATTGCAGGAATTAGGCTTTTTGTAATATTGTTTTAAAAACAATAAAACAGCTTATTAAACATGTGTATGATACATCTTTCTTTCCCCCTTTTTCTAATTGAAAGAGCAATCCAGTGCAGTGTTTGCACAAACTGTCCACAGTTAAATCATATAGCAATATCTTGTTCTTTGAAAGCATTACTTGTGAAGGTGCATCTATTTTATTGTATTTTTACACTGTCATGACATTTTATACAGGAATTCATAAAAAAGAATACCTGTTGCTATATAATATCTGGAAAAGATACAGAGATATAAATGGGGGGGGGGATCAGAATTGTTACCTCCTTTAAAATCTAAGGCATTTTAGGAAGAGATACATTTTTTTTCTCAGAATGGATCAAGGAAAAGTTATATGTGTTGCCACTGTTCATTGATACCAAAGTTCTTGATACCACATCCCTTGAAAGTTGGTTAGACAAATAGATTAAGAACCCTTAAATTTTTAATTTGTGGAATTAATTTCTGCGTTCTCAGAGTGTGTGCAGATATAAACAACGAGCATACAAACCTTTATGGCAAAGTTACTCAAGCATTTTCAGCTTGGGCTCTGACTTCAAAACTTACTCTTCTTTTGGAGCCCACACTCTACATAAATAATATTTTACGCAGATGAGCATACAGACACCTTTGCATGCAATCACAGCACTTTCATTATGGAAAGGCTAGAACGAGATTTTGTATCTCTTGCTCCACTCCTAGTAACATGTGCAGCAATTTAACAGGAGATGCTGTATGTTCAAATATCAGAACCCTCATTTTCAAATCACAATGGGATGGTGAGGAAGGTGCTGTCACCTCACAAATCCAGTGTTGATCAATAAGGGTCCTTACCAGGTCCTAGAGAGGAAGAAAGGCAGCACCTACTAAAGGTCCTATCCGTCCCTATAACTTGGTCCATTCTCACATCTGAATGGGCTTTGACCTATAAATATTGAAAATAGAATAATAATAAAATATAAGGCTGGATTCAGCTACCCTGTTCCACTAGTAGAAGTCTGCTTGAGGACCCCTGCTAGTGTAAAGGGGCTTTCTGTTGTTCCCCCCTATGACTCTCACCCCCCCCCAAAAAAATCCACTCTAAGAGGTCAGAAGACTTCCCCACCTCGACCAAGGTACAAGGGACAGAGGGGAAGTCATTTCATCAAGCAAGCAGAAATGACAGAACAATTTCTTCATTGCTCTGTTGAATTCCACCCACATACTTTAACAGATGCTTATTGCAATGGTTTTATGTGGACTTTTAAAGTGTTATCTAACATGGGGCATTTGAATGAGGTAATTGAAAATTCTAATAAATAAATTAAGAGTGCTATGAATGTCCAAGAAAAATAATATGTTCACTGAATATCACATGCACACACATTCTGGCTCAGTATTATTATTATTTTAATACATGCTAGTGTGAAGTTGTCCATTATCAAACCTTACAGTATAAGAAGGAATGGGAAATTATGGAGTATTCATGGACAGGAAGAAATTTCAGGTGAAATTTAGGGATACTTAGTGCTGTTCGGAGGCTGAGCCTGCTCTGACGTACTGTCGCTGCATGCAACAGGGAGAATGCAACAGGGCATGCAAAAGGAAGATGCTTAATTGTGATGGGTGACAAAAACGTCTTCCAATTTTTCAATATATTTTTGCTTAAACTTCAATAAGTCAAACAAATTTAACAATTAATGTATTTATTTTTAGTGAAACAACAGCAAAAGACTAAGGGTGGTGTCCAGTGTTAGTCATACTCAGAGTAGACTCAGTAAATCAATAACTGGCCCACTGAGTATGACTAATGTTGGATACCAGCCCAACAATTTTATTGTGGCTAAATGTTTGTGGGTCAGAATCCTTTTCATTGTATCTGAATTCATTAGGCTTAATAGTACCACAAAATTTCTTGCTATTTTTGATACAGCCAACTAACATAGCTGTTCCTGAAGTTTATTTTCAGTGAATATCATCAATAGTAAATCTATTTGGAAAATTGAATAAAGACAATAAATATGATATTTAGGTCTGCAATTGTATTTCTTTTAGTAGTAATTTCCACGAATGCAAAGATCTATCTGCATAAACTGTTCATTGTGCATAGGACTACAATGCATTTGTGCTGTCAGATATTGTAGTACTTCAGTGGTCTGTGGGTCTCCTCAGATTTGTGTGGTCGTACATGCAGCCAATTTACTGCTGCGTCAGCCACTGTTAGTTCAGCATTACTGTAATGAGAATAATAAGGGAGTAATGCAGCAATGTATTCTGAAGTAGCAAAAAACCCCACTTGTGCCTGTATAAAGCTGTAGGAAGAATGGGATCATCATAGGCTATGTTTGTAGTCCACAAGCCTTTCATGCTGAGTGGTCCTGTTGTGGTTAGACATAGTACTACATAATAAGTGTTTGGGTTGATATGCATTTAGAAACCTTAACTCATTTATTTTGAGTAACCTTGTCATGTCATACTAATGGATGATGCATGCAGCCTTCATCATACACCTAAGCATTTTCGCCAGCAATCCATGTGGAGCTGTTATGTATAGTGAAGGCAGGGGTCTTGCTTTATCTTAAATTATTTCCAACTGAGAGCTGGCATTAGGAACATCTCATCAGTACTCACTAGCCTTCAAGTTGCACTGATTTAAAACAAGAGGGATTACTATGAAATCCTATACATGCCACTCAGAAGTAAGTCCTATTGAATCCAATATGGATTACTCCCGGGTAAGCAGGTATAGAATGACATCTTTAAATAAACAAAATGAATTATTTAATAATTTACTTAAATCAAGTTATTCAGTAAGTTACTCATGTATTTTCTGAACAAGAGCTTTGATAAATGGCTGATGAAACAAAACATATTTAGTTGGCATATTTAGTTGGATCACTGGGATCACTGGGGAGTGGAGGCTTTAAGGCCTTCTAATGATCCTGATGCAGCCAAGATCACTGTCTGCAATGGCAAAAGCAAAATGAAAACAGTGGCATGGATAGTTCTGGGATTTCTGGAGGGAGGTACACTACCCTGCAATTTTGCATTAGTAGCATGGGGACAGTAATCTTTTGATCACTGGGATCTCCTTTATATATTCCCACTCACCCACTCCAGTCTGTGGGACTAGCACTGTTACAGGTGCCATATAATGCTTGTTCTTCAATTGTAATAAATCAATCTTTTAGTGTGGTTCCCTGCTGTATAGAGGAACTCCCCGCCTGTAGACATATGGCAGGTGCCTGCTTAAAACCTTTTTGTTTAGGCAAGCTAATCTAGACATGCAGAAGGTACTTAGGTTTTAATCTGTTTTTAGCTGATTGTTGATTATAATCAGTGTTTGAATTTTTTAATACCTGTTTTTAACTGTCTTTTTGTTGATATTTTAAATGTTTTGTTTTGTAAACTGCTTCGAGGTTTTATTACAATCAAGCAGCTATGGAAAGTGATTGTTTTTCTTTGCCATCCAGTTGCTGCCCAATGAGCTGGAGGGAGTTAATAGGGCTCCCCGGGAACTTGGCAGGCTGTACAGAGAACAGCCAAGAGCTGCTTGCAGCCTATGGGTTACTGTGTGTTTTATCTTACTACTGTTGTTGTTGTTGTTGTTGTTTAGTCGTTTAGTCATGTCCGACTCTTCGTGACCCCGTGGACCAGAGCACGCCCGGCACACCTGTCTTCCACTGCCTCCCGCAGCTTGGTCAAACTCATGTTGGTAGCTTCGAGAACACTGTCCAACCATCTCGTCCTCTGTAGTCCCCTTCTCCTTGTGCCCTCAATCTTTCCCAACATCAGGGTCTTTTCCAGGGAGTCTTCTCTTCTCATGAGGTGGCCAAAGTATTGGAGCCTAAGCTTCAGAATCTGTCCTTCCAGTGAGCACTCAGAGCTGATATCCTTCAGAATGGATAGTAATAATAATAATAATAATAATAATAATAATAATAATAATAATACTTTATTATTTATACCCCACCCATCTGGCTGGGTTTCCCCAGCCACTCTGGCGGCTTCCAACCGAATATTAAAAACAATGTAGCATCAAACAAATAATAATAATTTGATTTTCTTGCAGTCCATGGGACTCTCAAGAGCCTCCTCCAAGACCATAATTCAAATGCATCAATTCTTCAGCGATCAGCCTTCTTTATAGTCCAGCTCTCACTTCCATACATCACTACTGGGAAAACCATAGCTTTAACTTTACAGACCTTTGTCGGCAAGGTGATGTCTCTGCTTTTTAAGATGCTGTCTAGGTTTGTCATTGCTTTTCTTCCAAGAAGCAGGCGTCTTTTAATTTCGTGACTGCTGTTACCATCTGCAGTGATAATGGAGCCGAAGAAAGTAAAATCTCTCACTGCCTCCATTTCTTCTCCTTCTATTTGCCAGGAGGTGATGGGACCAGGGGCCATGATCTTAGTTTTTTTGATGTTGAGCTTCAGGCCATATTTTGCGCTCTCTTCTTTTACCCTCATTAAAAGGTTTTTTAATTCCTCCTCACTTTCTGCCATCAAAGTTGTGCCATCTGCATGTCTGAGGTTGTTATTTTTCTTCCTGCAGTTTTAATTCCGGCTTGGGATTCATCTATTCCAGCCTTTCGGATGATGAATTCTGCATATAAGTTAAATAAGCAGGGAAACAATATACAGCCTTGTCATACTCCTTTCCCAATTTTGAACCAAACAGTTGTTCTTTATCCAGTTCTATCTGTAGCTTCTTGTCCCACATAGAGATTTCTCAGGAGACAGATGAGGTGATCAGGCACTCCCATTTCTACCATTTTACTAGGAACATCTAAAACTGCTAGTCATGACACTTCCATTTGCAGTAAAATACAAGGATACTGAGCAAGAGCACTTATTATTTTTGTTGTTTGTTGCTTGTTACCTGGATGTCCGCAAGCGACTTACAGCATTTACTTGGGGAAAGGCTGTGCCTGAATAGAGATGAATGACTTCTTCCACCACCACCAGATCATGTCAGGTTGGCTCAAAAATAGGTGAAAAATCAGGAAAAAGCTTATGTCTGATCTAATCTGATTTCAGAAATAAGCCGGCCTCCCTCCCTGAAACTCTCCTCTCTCTCATGGATTCTTTCTCCCTCCCATCCTCTGATCCCACAAATTCATTCTCTCCCTCTCTTCAACCCCATTTATCAGACATGGTGATTGTCTGGTGAAAAGAAATTGCATATAATTTAATTTATCACTAAACAGCAAAAAAAAAGTGTAGGTTATTAAGGGCAAAAGTGTAGGCTATTAAGGGGACCTATCTGCTGAGCTGGTGGGGAAGGTTTATTTTTTAGAGGTTTGGGGGGATGGAAATATAATTATGTGATACAGCACAGACTTTGTATGCAGAACCGTGGTAGGACTGGCATCTCCAGATAGGGCTGGAAAAGACTCTTGTCAAAGCCCCCAGAGAGGTTATGCCAGTCATTGTAGACCATACAAAGTCAATGGCCTGACTTTGTAAAAAGCAGCAACTTACTCTATACTGTATAAGTCAACTGAAGGTATTGGTCTCAATATCATTTGAAATGGCTATCTCATGGGTGTTCCTGTTTTATTGTGGATGTACAGCATTCTTCAATGTGTTCTTGGCACAATAATAGTGGTGAATTTATTCCACTTTAGTTTCTTTTGAGGTGCTTTCACAATGCTATCATATTATTGCTGTTCGAAGTGGCTATAGCACAAAAAAGTGGGACTGAAATAATGAAAAACATTTGTGGTACATAAAGTTAAAGGATTCCAGTAGGAAGTTAGTACTGAAATCAGGCTTGCGTGTAACTGCCCCAATAGCATCATGAGCATGGCTTATCATGATGCATGATAAAAAGGACATCTGGAGGGGCCCTGGGTAGTTGTTTTTCTCATGGAAGGTGGATAGGAAGAGATATCTAGAATTTGACACACTTGCAACCCTTTCTCATGGCATAGCCTTGGTCTCCTTTTCTGCTCACTTTCCTCAAATGCAATGGTACACAGCAGGAAGAAGGATGTGTGTATTTCTCCTCCTATATTCCCTTATTTCCAGTTCTCTCTTCCCCACTGCCCCAGCTCCACTCACTAGCCTCCACCCTTCTTTCAAAAGGAAGAATAATCAGGCTTCTTTGTCAACATGAACCATGAGAATCTATTTTAATTGGTAGTGCTTTAATTGGATAACCGAGGGCAAATGAGACATGGTACTAGATGTGTCATTAGCAATTATGTGTGTGCTTGTGTGTTTAAGTTAATAGGTACATGTGGGCCCAGTTTTCATTGGGACCACAGTGTGTGGTGGAGTGCAATGTGGCCAAAAATGCTATCTAAGCTGCTCTTAGGAAGGAAAGTTCCCATTGTCAAAGGGAAATTTTCATTGATTTCACAGCAGGAAGAAAAGGTTAACCCTTATCTCCCCATGCATAGCTGCTGTGATGAAAATAATATACACACCTGCTGTTTAAGGTTTTTGTTTTTTTCCTTAAGGGGGTGTGCTAATGATGTGTATAGCCATTAGTCATCTAATTTGGTCCTAATATCTGCTAAGAACCAAGTTCAGATGTTATTTCTGAAAACCTAATTATGGATGTATGCACATGGGCCATATTCATGAATGGAGAGAAAGCATGTGCACAGCTTGAGCTGCTTTGAAGTTTTTTACTGCAGCTAGATCACTAAAAAGAATTGGCAAGCTATTTTCCATTTAAAACAATCTGCTTGCTCAGATGGGTACATTGCAACGATCAATGCTGATGTGCTCCATGTCATGCCTTTCAGCTAAATCTACTCTTTTCTGTTCACATACATGGGCAAATGATTTGGGGTGGTCCAGTGTGTTTTCCTTGAAGTGTCATTGTATGTAGCAGAACTTGCATGTCATTCTTTTGAAACTGAAGCACTTTGTTGTCTTCAGTGTTCCTAAATGCTTAACTTCAGAGCATATGGTGGCTGAAGAACTCCTTTTTCATGCTGATGGGCATGAACACTAGGACACTGCATACATGTGCAATATTGTATCAACCCCTGAGAACTATAGTTTGGTTAAACCTGGCGTGACTCAACGCCACAGCACCATCCATTGCAGAGAGATCCTCCTGTAAGCAAACACATTTGAGAGCAAAAAGCGTTTTGAATCTGGATGGGGCACAACAAACAAGCATAAAATATTTCCATTAAACAATCAGGATAATTGGTTGAATTGGTAGAGGAGATGTGCATCAAAGGGTTAATCTGACCATGTGTTTCACAGCAACCTGTGAGATTCATCAGATGTCAATGGCTAACTGAGGGGGGGGGGGGGCTTCTGCAGATGCAGTTACCAAGTAGCAGAGTATGCAGTCATGTAATTTCACAGCAATGAACGAGAGAGGTTAGCTCTAAAAATAACCTATACAAATTCACCCACAAAGCACAGCTGGGTTGGGGTACCTGGTCTGTTGAATGCTAACTGAGCATGCACAACATAGTTTAACATTCTGAGTTAACTTTTCAGGGATATGATATACAATTTGTAACACAGTCAAGCATTACAGGCTGGACAAGTCAGTTTATGAAACCAAGTATTGAGCATTTCAGTGCCATCCCTATTGAAGAACCAAATGTAATGTGACTTTAACTTTGTATTTTCCAGCCTTCTGTAGTATGAATATTTAATTATTATTAAGAAAGTAATGTTCACTTAAAGATTATGGGGAATTACTCTCTTAGATAACAGTATTACTTAAATAATAGTATCCTGTGATTCTTCATGTCAAGGATGTAGAATCTCTGACCTTTCACAAGATGAATTCCAATTCCGTAAGCCCCACCCAGCAAAGTTAATGGTCAAGGATGATGGCAGCTGTAGCCCAACAACGCATCCCAGCTTTGCCTTCTTTCAGGAATTAGGAGTTGAGTGCCAGGCAGGCAGAATATGCTTTAAGTGGGTACACCTACACCCATACATGCTCCAGGGACTTCTTGATTGGCCATATTAGTGAAAGTAAAATAGATTATCTCCACCTGCTAGGCTTCTTTTCATGCTCCATAAATTTAGAGGAACCTCCTCATCCCTCCCAAAGTCTTTCCTACCTGCATTTTCCATGGATCAGGATAGGGAATTTTCAACCTTTGTGACAACTGTGATTAAGCAGTATAGCTAAATAAAAATAAATAAATAATGAGATGCTCAGTATAGTAATTTACCTGAGCACTGGAATACTAAAGACATCTGCACATCTCAGTCTCATCATAGCCATGCTTTTCCCGCAGTTCTGCAAATTGTATTCCAGTGGAAAATAGAGGGCACACTTTGTTATCAGAAGCTGTAATAGTTCTGCATTTTATGAGTGAATCTAATGGGTGATTAAAATTATAGGAATATAATAGGAGCGTGCTCTGGTCCATGGTGTCACGAAGGGTCGGACACGACTAAACGACTAAACAACAACAAATGTTACCTAGAAAAGAAACATATGTTAAATGTTATTTACCTAGTATTTAAAATTAGGTTAATTTTTGCTGTAGTAATCTTTCAGTAATCAATTTTGGGGTTTATTGTAAAGATTGGCTAAATGGCTAATGCATTTTGAAGTTTGAATTTGTACTTTTCTTCCAAAAGCCCATGACCTATTTCTTCCCAAAGCTTTGACCTATAGTGTGTCAACAGCACACAAAATATGAGTGATATACTAGCTGCTGTAGGAAGGACTGGATGGAACTCATAGGGCCAAGAGCAGGGGGAAATTCTTCAGAGAAGTATCAGAATATAAATATGGTTTTGGAAGAAGAAACAATTGGCAGTACAGGAAAAATGTATTCAAGGCTGGACCGAATTCCAGCATTGCTTGAGTAGAGTTTCAGCTTACTTGGATAGTGTGGTTTCTAAAATGTGGTAGAAGTGGTTTTAAGCACATTCACTGCATTCTGAGGCATTTGTTTCAGAAAAGAGGGTGTACGTCAAAACTCTTCTTTTCCACACTTAAAATATCTATTTGTTTTTAAGTTTGGAGCTCCTTCGGGAGTGTATTTTACTGCCAGATTTGGGGATCCTCCAAAACTCTTACACCTGCAGTAGGTTATAATGCAGAATTGCTTATCTGCACTTTGGCAATGTTTTAATATAATGTGTGGGTATGGAGCAATCTGAGAAGGCGAAGCCCTTACAGCATAGCTGCTGTGTATGCCCTGCTGAGTGCTATTTTCTTCCTGATGGCCTTGGTGGTCTTTTGCGCATATCAGGCCTTATGAAAAAAATAGGATGAACTGACTGTATGAAAACCCAGTTTCATCTTTGCAGACTCTAGTGTGCAAACTTCTAGTGTCATTCCCAGTAGTCTACAACTCCTATCATCCCAAACTATCAGGACCAGGGATCAAGGATGATGGGAATTGAAGTCCAAAAACAACTGGAGATCCAAGTTTGGGAAACACTGAGAATGCATGATTTGAAGTCTCACACCTTTCCCACTCCACTGTGTCAGAAATATCCAGTTAACAGGTGATGTGAATGGGTTAATGTATCACAGGTGCTTCAGGTCTAAAGGGCTGGGATCATATAATGTGTGGCATAAAGTTGAAGGTTTAAATTATTATCCTCATTGGCCTGGTTTTCTCAGTCCTCACTAGCATTGCATAACACACTCAGCCAATAGAAACTCAAACTTTTACCCACAAGGGAAGCTTTAAATTAGGAAAACCTCTTTGGATATTGGTTGAGGAGAGGTGCTAGTGTGGTATAGTGATAATTAAAAGTGTTTTCAAGTTGGCTTTGGGATTTTTGTACTATTTGTAACCAAATGAAATAAAATAGTCTGCCAGCTATAATACCTGGCTAGGTATGAACTTTGTCATGGTTGCTTTTTGAACTGCTCGTCCTTCCAACCTGGTGCAGTTTGGGCTAATAGTACCAACTGCCCCTGTAGGGGTGTGTGACCCATTATTATGGTCTGTCCCTGGAGACTTGTGGACCACAATGGATTCCTGTGAAATTTTCTGGTGAATAGAACTGGCAATCCTGCAGAAGACCTTATTTTGTTATGGAATGACAAGATGCAGAAGGTTGTAGATATGATAGATCTTGAGCATTCTCTCCAACACTGTGGAGCATATTCAGCTCCCTGGTATACTGGGGAGCTGCATGTGATGAAAAAGACCAGGCGATGGCTAGAGTGCAGGTGGTGGAAGTCCCACTGCAAAGATGACCAAACATGTGAGAGCACCCTATTGTGCTTACTGCATGGGGGTGAAAACAACGAAGAAGACCTACATCATTGATTCCACTGGGTTCTCTAAAAGTCAGCAAGCGGAACTAGTGAATATGTGGTTCATAGGCTATTGACACCCATATTGGTGGATGGAGCCCAGGGTACCTCAGAGACCCTTTGTGACCTGCCTGAGGACAGTGCCATTCGTCTCCATAGCATGTGAGGTGCCAATACTCCATCAAGCCATGTTTAGTGGGAAGCAGTTTCAGTTTTTGCAGTCTGATTGAAGCTAGCTAGGGAAACATGGCTGGGTGGGTTCAGTGTGTGATGTATGCAACTTCATGATAGGGTGGTGCTAGCCACTGTGGAGGTGATTGTGTGGTCATTCATGGGGGGGGGGAACCACCTGGTACCCAGTGGTATTTTACAACTACTACCCAGTTTTTAATACCCTTTTTGGACAAGAAACTTGAGAGGGTTGACCCATTACAATCTGTCTTCAGACCCAGGTTCAGAACTGGGCATTCCTTGGTCACCCTACTGGATGACCTCTCTCAGGAGAGGGACAGGAGGAGTGTGATGTTGTTGCTGTTCCTCCTGAACTGTCATGAATCCTGGGAAGATGGAGCCTTGGTGGGTGAGTGACTCCCAGGTCAGAGAAGTTGATACGTTGCCTGTCCTAGATGAGGTTGTGCTCTCACTGAAGAAGCAGGCGCCTAAATAGTTTGGGGATGTTCCTGGATCCAGCTCTGTCATTGGGGGTCCAGGTGTCCTCAATGGCTAGGAATGCCTTTTACCAACTTTAATTGGTAAGACAGCTATGGACATTCTTGGATCAAGATTGGCTTGACCACAGTTGTGCATGCATTGGGAACCTTACAGTTTGATTACTGCAATGTGCTCTGCTGGTGCAACCCTTGGGGTTAGTCTGGAAGCTGCTTGCAGGATTTGCACTGGCAGCCGATTGCTAACATAAGGCTCAATAAAGCTCAGGACCAGGTTACTTGAGAAACTTCCTTATTGCTTATAAACCCTGTATGTCTCTGCAGTCTGTGGAAGATTTCCTCCTGCAAGTTCCAAAGATCTGAGAAGCCTGTTCCACAGTAACTGAAAGCAAGGCTTTCATTGTCACTGCCCCTGTTCTGTGGAATAGCATTCCTTACAAAATATGACAGGCACCACCCACTATCTGCACTTTCCAAAACAATTGAAGACATGTTTGTTCCCATAGGCTTTCACAGCTGGATAAATTTTACTACAAGTGTCTGTTTAGTTGTATTTTAGTCTTGTTTTAAATGCATTTGCTGTTTTTTGTGTTTTTAATTATCTCAGGTATAAATGGTTTTATAATGTGTAGAAGATTATTAATAAATCAGTATTAATAATGATCATTCTAATTTATCAAGTGCCTGTAAATTTCTGATTCCATAAATAAATTCATGTTTTACTTTATTATAAGGGCTTTAGTTTACTCATGAACCGTACTAACCCACACTCAGCTTATGCTAGTCAAATTCTGGGAATCCTCTCTACTTACAGGGCATAGCTCATACCCCACACCCTTCCCAGATTTGCTCCAGAGAGTTGGGGGAATCTCTGCAACAGCTAATTAAACCCAATCTTCCACTCCTGTTGCAAGACCAACTATGCATCTGCCACTATCCTAGTTAAGAAACAAGGTAGACTACAGTTGCAAGGGGCACTGTGGTAGTTCACATGTTTTGCATGTAAAATGATACAGATTTAATACCTGTGATCTCCAGGTAGGACTGGGGAAAACTCCTGTCTGAAACTAGGAGAGCTCCTGATAATGGGTACAATAGTCTTGCTCAGTGCAAGGCAGCTTCCTTTGAAATGTACAAAACTTGGAATATTAAAGATACCTGTAAATGTATAGTTTAGCAGAATGTAAAATAACTAAGAGTACTGCATTGTCTGTGTGTTTGTTACTGTATCATGAAATGTCCTGAAAGTTATAAAGATTAGGTGTAAAAAGTTAGTGCAAAATGGCCGCCGCCTGTACTTTATTCTATCTACATGCAGGTCCTTTTGGTACCAGAAGAGGACAGAATGGGGGGGCAGGGCAGAATGGGGGTGAATTGGGGTTATGCATGCTCCGCCTACACCAGGAACAGAACCCCTGTGCAAAATGGTTGCTGCCTGTACACTAAATTATATAATTGGTTTAGTAACAGCAGAATTCTGTTCCCATCTACCCAAGTTCAAGTGGACTTGCTCCCAAGTAAATGCTGTAGGATTGCAGCCTAATATTGTACTGACCTGACAGTAACTTTTTGGCAGTTATGTAGATCACCTCAGAGACTTGCTAGAAAGGCAATAAACAATTCTGTTGTAATGGTTTTTACTCATTTCAGACAGATGTACATATTTTTGTGTATAATATGTTTATAAAAAATAAATGTACAAAATAAGCTTTGTGTTTCTTAGAATTAGTGCTGCATTAGTATATATGAACATAAGCAATTAGTGTACGAGTGTGTTGCACGTATGCATGAGTGTTTGTGCACAAGTATGAAATTCTGTGCATGTCTACTCAGAAGTAACCCCCACTGAGTTCAGTTTTACTGACTGTCAGGGAAATTTGTCTGGATTGCAGTCATAGTGAACATAAAAACACACTTTATTTATATTTTAGTTAAAACAGAGCCAATGAGCAGCAGTGAGATTGCTACTACAACAGCAGACGGGTCTTTAGACAGTTTTTCAGGATCAGGTAAGGAAGCATTTGCCATGTGTAAATATGATACCCATATATGTTTCAGATATTTAATTAGGAAACTCTTTCTGAGTAAAGACAACCATACATTATGTGGCTTTTCATGTGTGTATTCCCCTTATTGGCAGCAGTTGCCACTTATTAGCTGCCAAGTCTATTTTGAAATTAATAGTGAAATTCTATACATGTCTACTCAGAAGTAAGTTCTGCTGAGTCCAATGGGGCTCCAGTTCCAGGTGAGTCTAGCAGCCTCAGTTTGGTCTAGCAATATTTTCTTCTGTGTGTTCTGCTGTTCTTAGCTGAAATACAGAGCTGTTACTGGTGACATTTACTGGGCACCCTTTAGTCTCAATGTAGTCCAAGCCCACATTTTATTTGTCATGTGTAAAGCAGATAGCTTTGCCTCAAAAAATCTAAGTTTGTGTGAAGACAAAAGTTTATCAGCTGTGGTGAGAACCTATTTTTTTAAGTGCAAAGCTGTCCCGGTTATTGCAGCAGGAGGTAACAGCCAATCTGCACTGTTCATAGCCAGCTACTGCTGCATACTTAAAAGATCCTCCCACCGCCCCCAATCTTGACAAAGAAAAAGAAATGTACATTTGAACAGTGAAGGTGCTTCAGCAGTTTTACTGCTGAAAAAAATGGGTTGTATTCCGTGTTAGTCCTACTCAGAGTAGGTCTATTAAATTAATGGACACGAGTAAATTAGGCCCTTAATTTTAGTGAGTCTGTTCTGAGGAGCACTTAGCTGGATGCTGCCCACTATACCTGCCTGCAATACTTTTTGAAGGCCAACCAAAATGTCACAAAATATTATGCAAGGTTTCAAGTTTTATACGTCAGTTTTACAATCTCAGTATTGGTACACTGTCATTTATTTTTTTTAAGATTCTAGCTGATAAAATCCAACAAGGAATGCTTCCTTTTTGGTTCCATAGCAGTGTGAATGTCTTCAGCCATCACTGTGCTTGAAAACATGCTTTGCGATGAAAAGGTTTTGAGTCCAATCGGTGGCATATCTAGATTGAATGCGGAAGTCCCTTGTTGGTAAAGCTATGGCTAGTCACTGCAGATAATACTAAGTTGGATGGACTAGTGGTCTGACTCTGTGTAAAGCAGCTTCCTAAGTCACACACAGTCATTGGAAAGAATAAATAATAAAACGCTGAAGAGGAATTGCTCTCTTATTGGCATTTGTTTCATTCCTCACTACCATGTGCTAAATAGCTGTTTTCAGTAGTGGCTATAGTTCTTGGGAAGGAAAAATGGAAGTATGATTGTGGGTTTGAAGAATATCTGACTCACTAAAATGTCACCCTTGTATAAAAATGCTGACAATTTACAGCATTTAAATTTAAGAACCATGCATGGAGTAATTCATTTAATTCAATTGCAAAATTGTGAGAAAAGTGGAGAGTTAATTAAATGGCTAGAAATATGACAGGGTGTGTTAAAAAGGCCTTAAAGTGTGACATATTTTTAAAACGGTCCCTTAAGAGCAATTGCAAAAGCCTAATTTGCAATAAAGATGTTGAGAATTGTTGTGCTAGCCTGGATCTAGTAAAGTATTACTTGGCGCTGTTTTAATTTTATTAAACTTCATTAAATTTCTAAAGTTCCTTTAACAGAAATAATATTTAGGTTAGATGTGTGTGTTTACACTTCCATGTGCTTTCTTTTCTCCTCTGTACAGCAATTGGAAGCAGTGGCTTCAGCCCAAGACAAACTCACCAGTTTTCCCCACCACAGATATACCCGTCCAAGTAAGATGTCTGTTACGTTTTAAAAAAAGAAAAAGAAAAAGAAAAAAAGTGGAGTTAAACCTCATTTATAATTATAATTGAATCCATCTGCTAAATCATAATTGAAATCAGTTTACCCTTGAGAGAGGTTGTACTTTAGAATAACTACAAATGTATCTTTAGACGTAGAAAATAGTTTAATTAATTAATTTGTTTTGCACAGTGGCCAAGGAATTTACATTCTGTCATGCAGCTTAACCAAAACGTTTGCATGTTTCTATCTAATACAAAGGCTTTCCTGTTTTCTGTCATTTTGCAACGAACAGCAGACCATACCCGCATATTCTTCCTACTCCTTCACAAACGATGGCTGCATATGGGCAGACACAGTTTACCACAGGGATGCAACAAGCTACAGGTTATTCAACGTACCCACAGCCTGGTCAGCCCTATGGAATCCCATCATATGGTGAGTAAAGTTTTTGGGAAGGTGGTGACAAACAGTTGTGTATTGGGGTGTGAAATCGCTTTGCTGATGAGTGCAGCGTTACTTAGTGACAGAATACTGCATTTTAGTAGCTTAAGCATAAGTATGTTTCAAAACCACTGAGGCCCGAAAAGAAGCAAAACATTGTTCCATGATTTTGGAATCTCACTCCTCAGTATTTAGCAGCATCTTAACTTTCACATCCCTATGTCTTCCACTTTCTTGCTGTGGGCTATTTCCAACTAATGTCCTTGCAGAAACACAAGAGTTTTTGATCCAGAGGGAAGTATCTGCTAGTAGAAGAGGGGAGGTTATTTTTTAAAAATCCCTTGTCCCATCAGCAGTCCCCAGTGTCCCACAAAAATCTGTTCTGGAGGATATGCAAACCCAGTAGAACGGATTTTCAGGATGCTCCTGAAAATTTCCCCCTCCCCCTCTGTTGTCAGATGCCTCCAATGGAGTAACAGAGCAAGGAGGGTCATTTGGTTCCTAGTCCGTGGGTATATGTTGCTATATTAGGTACTTGAATGTCTTATGACAAGAACCAAGCTATATCTATGGTTTGTGTAAAAAACAGAAAGATCGGTGCACATTTTCTTTATGGAGCATTAAGAATGTTAAAGACGCTCCCAGCATGCATGGTGCATGTAGATGCCCTTGCTGCATTTGACTTATTAAAGTATTTCTTATGAAATACAGAAAGAATAATTCAACCAAACTTAAGTCCCATTAACATCAGGTGCCCTTTTAAAGGGGTTGTGGGATGCGGGGTGGTATTGGTTTGTTTTTGTTCCGGTTTTATTATATATTTTGCGTTTTTTATCTTGTATTTTTGTGTTGTGAACCGCCCTGGGATCTACAGATGAAGGACGGTATACTACTACTACTACTACTAGATTTCCAAGGCAGCTATTAAACATGCCCAATAAAAGCAACCCACAATTTTATTTAAAACAACAGTTAATAAACCAAGAAGTACTCAAAAATTGAAACAGGAGCCAAAGAACTACATAATAATATATCCAAAAGTACTGCCTCATATAAAAAGGCTTTACACTTTCTCTCCCTAGATGTTGACTGAGAAGGGCACTGGCTCATCTCAACTGGAAGCACGTTGCCCTAAAAGTTTTGATGATCCCCACTGTTGAGCTCACCATTGAGGACTTCTGAACTATACTATCTCCCTATATAATGGAAAATAAGTCCACTGGGGTTTATTCTCTAATAAAGTGTGACAGGATTTCCGTCTTAACCAACAAATAAATTGGCTGAAACTTGGGAAATAATGGGTTATGTTTTCTTTAACTGGCATTTACAAATCTGTTTCTTTTGTATTTGCTTAAATCTAGCAAATATAATCTTGTGACCTGTTTTAAACTTCATCTTAGTAGAGTGACTATCAGGATTATACTTTCAAGTTTATTTTTAAATGAAAGTAAAAATTAAAACTTTGGTCACTTGTGGTTTATTCCTGTAGTGTTAGAACTGATTTTTTAAAAATACATTTTTTAAAAATAATTGAAATTTATTCTTAAACTGTTAGAATAGGAAAATTGTTCACAATGCAGTTTGGTTATTTGTTGCTACTTTGTTATGATAATACAGTTTACATTCTTTTTTTAGGGTTCATATCCTTTTTTTGTAATATTGCCAGTTGGTCTGTTTTTGTGTTTCTTTCCCCCCTTTTTCTGAACAGCAAAATTTTAAAAACTCCTTTTGATATATTTATATATACTTGATAATGATTCAATATGGTGTGATACATCACAAATATAGGTGTAATAACAAATCAGAACTGAATTTTTAATTGAACACTGATTAATTTACTCTGTAGTAACTAAACATTTTATGGAACACTCTGGCAAAGGCTTTTTATTATATTGTACAATGAGAGAATGGAGAAATAATGTTTGTAACAGAGTGAGCTTGGTTGGTGGAGATGATTGCCACCGACAGCTGGTTGCTAAGACTTTCTTGGCTCTAATGCTTCAGCAAAACTGTTAAAAAGACTTTAAAATGCAGCTTTCCCCCATTGCAGGATGGTTTTCAGTTACTGCTTCTTTATCAGACATGCTGTTGGAAGTTTATTATTTATTTGAATTAGGTTAAATACACATATTAACATACATATATTCATGCATCAGCATAATTCCCATCACTACCATCATACCATTCATGAGTTTTCCCTCTCAATGCAGAGAAGAGGTTTAAAAGAGTTAGGATTGCTTTTTCACAATATAGCTGCCACGTGGGGAATGAAATTTTACTCCCCAGCTGCTTGCAATGTTATCATGACACTTGCTTCTCCTTTTCAATGCACCCTTGAGAGTGGATGATTTGCAGTGGAAAAATAATTGAGGGTTTTTATAAAGGAAAAGCAGCTTACACACCAATACATGGTCTACATGCAGTTTTGTCATATCTAAAATTGCAAGTGCATAATTCACATGGTGATTTTATTTTGTATGCCAAATCACCAGATTAGCTCCAACAGATTTGTTGGTGTTCCTGACACCACCTGCATGCGTCTTGCCTCACTTCAGAAACCCGGGGCTGAGCTTCGGTTGCATTGCCGAATGTCACTGATTCTCTGCAGCAGTTAAAGCTTACCTGTACAACTGGGCTGCAGGCAATACCCTTTTCCAACACAACATAAAATAATGGCCTATTATGGTGTGGATGCAAACCAGACAGTGAGGTGCCAATGCATATGGCAGGCTGCAAAATGTTATTTTTGTCTCTATCTGTTTATCAAGCTAAATACATTCTAATTTTCTGGATTGCATTTATTTAATGAAAACATTTGCAGGGTTGTAGATGTTTGAATTTTGATGAAATTCAATAAGAAAAGAAATAAAAAAGACTATATAATGTTACTCCAGTCTGAAGAGACATCTCAAAGGTGTGGGATCTGTATTGTTTACATGGCAAAAAGGCTGTATCCCTTTTGCAGTTAATAATGGATATGTGCCTATAGGCCCAAGCAATAATTTAAAAAGAGATAATTTTCCCACTTTCACCCCTGTTTGAAAATGTCTAGGAAAAATCTTAAAACTATTGAGTTGTAAAAAGTGCTTACTGTATGTGTTGGCCCCTGGTAACTAAATCAACTAAAGCGTTGGGACCCAGGTGGTGGAAATCCTGTATATGCAGTTGCCCAGTTACCTTGAATTCATGTACAGGGTTGCACTGTAAAACTTGTCAACTTTGGTAGCTAAGAAAGTTTTAACTCACATGCTGGACTTTGTAAATATGAAATTCCCTATTGATATTCTGACCCTCTTTTAAGCTCTTGCATGTGAAAAGCTATAGAAGAAAGAAATACTTATATTAATAAAACAAGTTTTCTAATGTCTTTCTGAATGAGGAGAAAACAAAAAAATGTATAATAGTATCAAATGTGCTTTAAACATCTATAATTTAACAATTTTAAGCTAAAACTGTCACTGTTCCTTCATACTGCCCACTATTTCTAAACTGATAATGTAACAATTGCTAAATAGGTGAATCTACAGTATGCTCATGCAAGATTTAAATTAAACAAGAATTTAAATTAGAAAGGTTGCGTCAGTTCAGATAGTGCAGCTTAACTAGATTATGGGTTGGTGTCCTTTTGCATACTTACATGAATACTTGTGTGATTTTATTTAATGCCCTCTGTTAAAATATGAACAACTAGCTTTGCTATCACTAACTGATTTAGGTGCATTGTGGGCAGGCATCAAGACAGAAGGCGGATTATCACAAACACAGTCACCTGGACAGACAGGCTTTCTGAGCTATGGTGCAAGTTTTAGCACTCCCCAGCCAGGACAGGCTCCATACAGTTACCAGATGCAAGGTCTGTATAAAGTAATTAGAATTCGTTTGCTTTTCACATGTTGTTTTGGTTTTGTGGGTTTTTAAAAAATAATAATAATTGAAAATGCAGGTAGCCAAATGAAGATGATAGCAGTGTATATTACCATATGTGCAAAACTAGATAGATTTTAAATGAAATTTTGCATTGTTGATGATAAATTAGTGTTTTTAATTCAAACCTAAGTTTTAAAGGTCTCATCAACATAAGCATTTTAAACATGGCTATTTTATTATGTGATTCCAACATTACAATGACCTTTATTGTAAAATTTCATTTCTTGCAGCATAGTTCTCTACTGTGATAGAAAACAGAGCAGTGTGAAAATTTGTGTCAAGAATACAAATATAAACTGACATAATTTCATCCCTTAGGTGTGTTTTCTTTGTCTGTAAATTTAAGATGACATTCCCTACAAGTTAACTTGTCAGAATTATTTAGGTAATGTTGGCAGTATAATTTGGAAGTTCTATATGTATTAGATGCTATCAGTTGTGGTTTCTTCCCCAAAGTAATTTGAATGTTTACTTGATATTATACATAATGCCTAATGTATTGTATATTTCTTTGTGTTGGTACTTATGGAATCCAGTTCTCCTTAGGAATAGAGAAAAGGATTCAAAACTAACCAGAAACATGATCTCTAATTTTAGACTGGGTCAGTGGGAGCTATGCATGTTGAATCCCTTGGAAACCTTAGAACAGATGTTATGAAGCAGAGAAGCCTTAATGTCTTAACTGTATCAGACTTCGTTGATGCAGAATAGCTTTTAGGATGTATTGATCTAGTCCTTAGCCAGTAAGCAAAGGAAACATTTACCTTTAGAACTGACAGCAAACTTAGAATGGCAGAGGTGATGATCTGACATAAGGTCTGGATTAAGACACATTACCACCAAGTTTCCAACAGAAAGAATAAGATTTCTTTCAACTGATTTTTTTTTTTAAAAAAAATTGGAATTATGTCTGAGTCACATCTTCTTTTGTAGGATCTGGCAGCTGCTTCAGCCTAATTTTTAAATATTGTTTAATTTTGTCGTCTTTTTTCTTTTTGTTTTGAATAGTGGCCTTATCATATAATAATTCAAATATGGTTAGCAGCAACATTGCTGAGAGCAAAAGCAGCAGAGTCAGGACCGTGATTCCTGCATCCTACATTTTTCGTACTCTAAATGCACAAGCACTTTTGCATCCTGCTGAGTTTTCACAAATCACCAAAGAGCGATTTTCACAGAGGTTCAAAGGGTTCAAAAATGTGCCTTATCTTCTCTTAATTAGTATAAGTTGAGGACTATAGGGAAGTTGCATATGTTGGTAGCTGTAGTAAAATAGTTTGAAAATGGCATTTGCTTCTTTCTTATCCATGAATACTGATTTGTACAATCTGAAATGTACAGTGGGTCTCACTTCTGCATAGGATTGATAATTCTAATCTGAGGTTGTGATGGTGAAAACTGAAATAGCTTTCTTTATTGTGGATAAGTTAATGCAAAACACTTTTGCTCCGGCTTTGCCCATCCTTGGTTTTAGCTCCGCCTGCTGCTGGCATGCAGCCTTCAACAGATTACCCCGAAAGAATGTGGAGTTCAGCAGAATAAAGGTTGCTCCCCGATATAAAGCATAATTAACATGGCCTTAAGTTTGGAAAGCTAGCTCTGGACCCTGTAATGTATATTCTGTTTTTGTTTTTTAATGTTACAGTTTTGTTGTCCTAAAAAAAATAATGGGTGTCAGACCCTCAGTAAGTTAGGGACTTCCCCTGCATGTGACTCCAATGGGTTGAGCAGAAAAGACCAATAGTGAGTCCAAAAGTTATGAAGGTGGTTTCTGCATGTGCTGTAGAGGAAAGTGAGGGGCAGATGGGGCTCACCAACCTGGGAACGTAGCCCATCTAGGAGAAGGAGAACTCTGTACCAAAACCTCCGCTGCCTTGCGGGATACCTTCGGGAGAAGAAAAGGCCAAGGAGTAAACCCTAACAGGAGTCCCTGAGACGGTTGGATGGCGCCTTGAACACCTCTTTCTGGCAGCTCCTGCAGCCACGCTTGTGCCAAATGTATTGCTCTGCTTTCCTTTGGACCTCATCAGCGAGGCCGAGAGAGAGGTTTTGTCAGGATATCCTGCTCAGGTTTGCATCCTGGGGAGGTCACTTTGGTGCTTATAACATAGCAGTTTGACTTCACCCCCAGAGGTGCCCTCCATTTTATCTCAAGACAGACGGATGCCAACAAAAACACTGAAAGATCTTCCCATTTATTCTTACTCTCTGCTTCCTGTTTTTAACCAGTTGCTGTTTTTAACAAACAAAAAGACTTCTGTTCTTATCCCATGACTGCTAAGCTTACTCAGGAGTCTTTGGTGGGGTATTTTGTCAAAAGTGTTCTGAAATTCTTACATACACAGTGTTGTGGTCCTAGCATTATTCACGAGCCAATTGTTTCAACATGATTACTTATTTATAAAATGTACTTTTAATTTGTAAAGGCGCAAAAATGATTTTTGTATAATTTTATAGTTCATTGGGTTAGATGGTGGCACTCACTCTTTTTTTTGTTGATCTTCATATCATCTGATACAATAGCACTGTGCTTTTGTGGCATGACATACCTTATTAAAATGTGGCAAACTTTAAAGAATGTTTTAAGTACTCCTAAGCTGATGTCCTTGGGTGGTCTACGTAGCAGTTTTCAGAAACCTGTTTCACATTTGTTATGGTCTGTGAGACCCTACTTGCTCTCCATAGGAGTCAGTAATGGCATAAGATGAAAGAGATGTTTGTTGTAATATGCTGGCCTAGGTGCAATAACAGTTTTCATTGGCTCTTGTGAACTTTCTGCCAATATGCAAGAAAGGCAAGTTTACAATCCTAAGCATGTTTACTCAGCCATAAGTCCCAATAAGTTCAGTTGGGCTTACCCCCAAGTAAATAGACACAGGATTGCCGCTTAAGTGTTATTTTAGATGTTAGGTATTTTTCTTGCATTTCTGTGAAATTTATACATTAATTGATTCTATATAGGAGTACTATGTACATATCCAATTAATCACAAACAATAAAATGTTTATTCTTAAGAAATGTTGCATAAAGTGGTTACTTGGTCAGCATGATCCCACTCATGTTTACTTCGGAGTAGGGATATGGATATCTATTAGACCTCTTCACAGTTCCAGAAGAAACAGTAGCCAACAAGAATCTATGCTGAGCAACATTCGACAATTATTTTAATCACTGTCCCAAAATAATGTCCTAAATGCTTAGGCACTGATATTTATTTTTATTTTCCGTATTAATATAAAGGTGAATGCTTTTACTAAAAGCAAGTATTTGAAAAATTGGGAGTTGAAACCCTTTATTCCTGCTACTGAAATATCTCTTTGTTCTACTCAAATGTTAATGTGTGTCTGTTTTTTCATATACAACTAGTCCTGATTTCTCCAAAGGCAGTTGGTTGGATCCTGAGAACTGCAAGCAGAAGAAAGCTCACAGAAGGGGATTTTCCCCACTGCAGTCTTCTGCACTCCCCGCTCAAAAGCAATCTGTCCTGAGGGTTGCAGGATCATACAGAACAGGGTGAGATTGAACATGAGAGGACTGCTGTGGAAGGGGTGAATTGACACCTTCTGTGAGCCCACTATTCATTAATTCTCTCTTTCTGTTAATTTTCATTTGCTCATCCTGTTCTGTTCTGTGGGGTCCCCAACCACAAGGACCAGCTTTTTCGGGCAGGGTGGAGAGGGCCACTGGGAGGAAGTTTGTAAAGCCCCCTTCTGCAAGCTTGTTTCTGCTTATGGTTGTCAGGATCCAACCTGATGTCTTGAGGTATCCATAGTAAGTGTCTGCATAACTGGATGGCTCATGAACATGAGTATAAATAACTTTTTATTTTTTTCTCTAAGGCATTTAGAGAGAACACTAGTTAATGCAGACTAGTTTATCTAAAGGATTACCATGTAAGCTGTTTATGCAGTAAATCTCATACTTCAATATGGAGCCCATTATATGGTGTTTACAAAATTAAGGAAGGAACATTTCTAATATACTATGTAGTTTAGATTTCCTTTATAGACTTTTCAAAGTGAGGATCTTTTAACAAAATCATTTAATTACAATCCTATGGAAGGGCCAAAAGGCAGTGCTATTTTTCTAGAAAAAGAGGTGCTGAAACTCACCATGAACGCCTCCCCTGTTCTATTATAACGGCGATGTTGCCCACCTGAGAGGTGCCGGCTGCAAAAAAGCCCTACCAAAAGAGATTGCTATCCTTGGAAGTGGCTGGGATCTGAAGGATCCCTCTACCACTCTCTAGCTTGTGTGTGTGTGTGTCTTAGATACAGTTCCAAGCATATCCTAATGTCATTCTCTCAGATATCTTTGGACCATTGTTCCTCTCATTGGTTCTCCTTTTGGTACCTTAGTTATTAGCTATTCTGTAATCATGATAAATGAAAAAGGCAGATTATGAGGATGCTTTGCTACTTCAGTGCCTCCTGGAAATTGCAGCTTTTTGTATTCCCCATTTCCTCTCCCCTCCTCCATACACTTTCACTATTAAGTGTCCATATGTTCACATTTGCTTTTGGGCCTAAAAGGAGGTTGCTGCCCTTTTAGAAATTCAGCTTTGTAGATAAAGGCATTAAGACAAGAGTGCCCATCTGTCCATTTTGGACAGCTAAGGTTGAGAGAGTATTGCAGTGTCCAGGCACATTTAGGCTATAGCCTTTCTACTTGAAATGTCATATAATAATTCTCGTAGTGTCGGGGCAACCATAACTTCTCAAGGAAAGAGAAAACTGCTGCCCAAGGCTGTATACTCAAGAACATTTAATGAACTATAATTATCTGTGCCATTATTGAAAAGCCCATAAGGTTCATAGTTGGTGGTGAAAACTTCCTTTGTGTTTCTGTAGCATGGAGGAAAACATTATAGCAATAATAAAAGGTTTCATTTTTTAAGGACTACAAAGTATAAGTCTTGTCAACAGCAATAGATGTTTGGAGTTCTCAGTAACTTCCAGGATATGTGTCATTTCTCCCCCCCCCAAAAAAAAAACACACACACACACACACAAAATGTGACAATGAGACATATTTTCATAATATTTATTTATAAACAAATAAATCAGTGGGGTTTTTCCAAATAAATGTTTTAGGACCACAATCTCTATGTAGTTTTGCACTGATCTGAAACTTACAAGGCTACATAAGCAGAATAACTGCATGCAGATATTGCTCTGGATTACTATTTAAGACAACAGGGGGAGATCTCATATTTGAATGCTTATCCAAATAAAAAGCTTCCTCCACATATTTCCAAGGAGTAGCTGTGTTCATCTGTTGCAGTAAAATCAGATAAGATTAACCTATTTATTATGACATGGACTAGAGTTTACTTCATCAGTGCTTGACGTGTTATCCGGATACACATAGTTTGGGAGGGGGTGTAGTAAACAGGTGCTGGGGGAATGAAATATAGAGTGTACAGGAGGTGATAATTATGTCATTAATAAGGGCCAGTCACAAAACATGAGAACAGACAGCCTAGCAATTGATAAGCCAGTTAAAATAGATGGTCACCTCCATTGAACAAAATAACTTCAAACAGAGACCACAATGTGAAATGAATTACACACACCCACACACACACACACACACACACACACACACGTGTGTACGTGTATCTGTAACACTTTAGCCTTCTTGTGAAGTAGACTCTAGTCTATGAAAGCTTATGCCATAATAAATGCTAGTTTTCAAAGTGCCACCAGACACTCTTGTTGCTTTTTCTCTTCACATAGAAAATCAGCATGTTAGTTTTCAATAGTGGAGGGTGTCTTTTATATGAGGAAGCATTCTTAACACAGGAACCTTCCACCTGTAGTTTGAAGTGGCACTTAACTGAAAGTGGCACACAGTGTAAACTGTGCCATTGGCTCTACTGATCAAGCTTTGCTCTTATGGGTACCTAACATAATAAAATGAAGCAAAGTGATTTTGACTTCTGATTCTACTCTTAATACATTTCATTTGAATAACTTTTTAGCTTTCATATAATCTAGAGCCCTGGAAGTAATTTATCACTTCATTCGCAGTATAGTCTTACTGTGGATTACTTATTGTACCAGCATATGAAAAATTCTGTTTTATCACTGTTGATTTGTTGTGTTGTTCTTTTTAGAGACATTGTATTGACTATAAACTTTTTTCCTTTTTTTGTTCTGTTTCAGGAAGCAGTTTCACTACATCATCTGGAATATATGCTGGAAACAATTCACTTACAAATTCTACGGGATTTAACAGTTCACAACAGGTAAATATGTCAACAGGATGCCAAAAGTGTGTTTTGAGAAGGATAATACAACTCATATCTGTAATTCTACATAAAACCTTGAAGTTCTTTAGAATTTTGAGGATTACCTTAATGTTAGTTGTAATAGCCCCTCTTTATTGTCTTAAAAAAAATGTCAGGATGATATTTATACCCAATTCTGATATAGTTTTTCTAAAATTCAATTTCCTATTTATGCAAAATAAATACTGGTTGTGATTTCCTACTCTGCAAAATCCAAGATGGCAGAGAAATTGAAGCATCTGTTTGCACTTACATTTTGGAACGCACACCAAAAAGTAAGCAGCATGTTGATGGGAAAGTCTCTAATACAGCTTTTTTCTCCACTCTGGTAGGAGTATCCTTCTTACCCCAGCTTTGGCCAAGGTCAATACGCACAGTATTATAACAGTTCTCCATATCCTTCGCATTATATGACAAGTAGCAACACCAGTCCAACAACCCCTTCTTCCAATGCGACATACCAGCTTCAAGAACCACCATCTGGCATCACAAGTCAAGCAGTTGCAGATCCTACAGCAGGTAAATGCATAGATTTGATTGTACCTATAGGCCACAATTTGGTACTTGAAATTTATTTTTAGAAGAATTCTGAATGTATGGTGGCACTTATTAAGTAAGGACTGGCTCAGCAAGGGGTAAGTGGACAGCAGTGAGTTTTTAAATACAGGTTTTCCTATAGTTACCGCCTCAAATAATTTATAAACACCAGCATTAAAAAGTAAAAACACAGATTACAAGATGTGTTATAGTCTTTTCAGATGTTGAGCTCATTACTCAAACTTTAGTTAATATTTGCCATCATGACTGTCCCAATGTTCATGACTGGTAGGTGGGGTAAGCATTGCACACCATAGCTTCTCTGGTGGCACTGCTGGTGGTGGTGGCTCCACGGCAGCAAGAACCCGAAGTGTTGCCCAGGTGGGTCTGAAACTACCATCCATGGTAGCTGGTGGGAAGTCCTGAAATGGGACGTTTCAGGGGTATCCACAGCTCTGCAGATCCCCCAAAGAACTTCTGGTTTTAGGGCATCTTAATTGGACCAGCCTGCAACAGGCACAGCCAAAAAAAGGATGTGTAAGAACTTCACTAGGCTTGCTTAGTCCAGCTGCAACCCTGCGTACATTTACTTGGAGTAGACGCCACTGAACGCAGTGGGACTTCTGAGTTGGATTGCACTGAAAAGCTTGACTGCAAGTTGCAAGTCCATATTTAGCTATAATAATCCCCAGATGTTCCAGTCATCACTAAGCATCAATCCAGAGGCTTAGGGAGGATGGTGGCCATTGGATGATAGTCAATGGGAGAAGCTCCAGCAGTGAGTTTTATCCCACCCCATTTGACCCTCTTTGCCCCATAATATTTATCAGAGATGCTGGTGCCCTACTTCCTCCACACTCCAAAATTTAAGCTGAAAGTTCTCCACAGAAGACATAGTTTTAAACTAATTCTAAACTATCTTTAAACTGATTTCAAGAGCAAAGAATGTGAGAGAGCAAAGAACAAAGTTTACAGGAATCAGTGAACTTTTAGGTTAACTTTGGCCGGCTTATGTTCTATGAATTCTTGGAAGCTGGAGGATGTTTTGTTTTTTAAGAAATAACCCCTCCAAGTATTGGAAAGGAGAATTTTCAGTTGACTTCATTGTTGTATATATTTGGGTTAGGAAGAATTCTGACTTCCAGGAATTAGTGTACCACTAGTAACATAAATACATATGGTAATCTATTACAAAGTACACCAAAACTTTGTGTGGCCATTTCAGTGCATCATACTTAAAGAGAAACAAAATCAAAGAACTACAACTAAACTAAAATATAAGCAATTTTTTCTTCTGAAGCAGAGTACAGTACAATCCACAGCCCAGCAACACCCATCAAAGATTCTGATGCAGAAAGGTTGCGTCGCAGCTCAGATGGCAAATCACGTGGTCGAGGCAGAAGGAATAATAATCCTTCACCACCGCCTGACTCCGACCTAGAGGTATTGTATATGAAGTAGCTATTTTATTTATTTATCTCTCATACTCTTCAGAAGCATTGGGGCGAGACAGCATTCTAAGCTAAGAGATGCATAAAACCAAATTCCAGCACATGAAAATCCTCAAAAGCAAAGCAAAATTATAAATTCCAGCTAAAAACCATTCCACTCCTACTTAGTCTTATATTTTGACCTTTCTCACAAGGGAGTTTCCATCCCCTTCAAAATTACTCACCCCTAGATTGTGTCCTCTGCTTGCTGAGAGGTAATAGCTACCCAGGGCATCACTGCAACACTTCTACTGCTTCCTGCTGGAAGGGCACCTCCCTAAATCTACTGCAGGGATAGGAAACCAGTCACCCTCCAAATGTTAATTCTTAGTAGAAAAGTATGTCGTTAATGTGGAGATTTTACATTACTTATTGACGTTGTTCTGAAATGTATGGGTTTCTCTAAAATAGTAAGAAAGGATAGCTTTGTTATGGTACAACATTCAGAATAGTTTGTTCACGTGTACATCCATTGATCAAAGCTTTTTTTCCTATTTTAATTATCAACTTTACAGAGGGACCCATTGATTTGGTTATCTTTTTACAGAGAGTATTCATTTGGGATTTGGATGAGACAATCATCATTTTCCATTCCTTGCTTACAGGATCCTATGCTAACAGATATGGGAGAGTAAGTACCATGACAGTCAATGTCTATATGTGTTTATGTGGAAAGAATCTATAGTATGGTGTGGTAGTGAAGTAAAAAGTAAAGTAGGAGAACTGTCTAATGGTTCCCATCCAGGTTTTCAGTGCTGGTGGCACAAAAACAAAATTAGTAGTATACAAGATTGTCAGATCATAAATTGCTTTGATCTAATTATCAGTGTAATCCCATGCTTGTTTCCTCAGGAGTAAGTCCCACTACTTATTTCCCAGTCAGTGTTGTTAAGGTTTTATCCTACAGAGTTATTTGACCTTGTTTATAAATTAGAAGTGAGGAATTAGATAATTATATTCTATTAACGAATAAACCAACCAATATTTGCATGATTTGAATATCAGCCACTGGGGAACAACAGCAGAAGATGGCTATTGCACTCATATCCTTCTTGATTGCTTCCCATAGGTATCTGTTTGGTCACTGTCAGAAACACCATGCTGGACTAGTTAGGCTTTTGGCCTTAATTTGCAGAGTTACCCTTAAGATTCTTATTACTGTCTCTGGGATCTTCCCAGCTGAGCATTCATGCTATTACGTTCACACAGAGGTTATAAGACATCATCAGCACTTGGTTGCTATCCTGCAATTTCCAGTTTAATTTCCCATCAGCTTTTTAATTGGCCTTTCTGCAGTTGGATAAATGATGGGCTATTTGCACTAGAAAGTGTGGATTAACCACATTTGTTTGGATTAACCACATAAACGACCTGAATGCAAGGGCCCTATGACATAAGAAGTCTCATATCATGCAGGAAGATCATATTCTATGGCTCTTCCCATTACATTAGTCCAGTTTTCAACCTATGAAGCTGCCTTATACTGAGTCAAACCAGTGGTCTGTCTAGCTCAGTATCATCCAAACTGACTAGATGTGGCTCTCTGGGGTTTCAGGCAGGACTCATTCCTACATGGAGATGCCATGGACTGAACCTCAGACATTCTGCATGCAAATAGAGCCTCTATCACGGAGCTATAGTGCTTCCCCTGTTCTCCAAGGATTGACACTGGTATGGGAACAGCTGCAGCATGGTTTCCTCCCACATAGTCTAGGACTTTTCACAGTATCCCAATGCACCGGAATGAGTAGTGCTGCAGCTGCTCCCACAGTGCTAGGCCCAACTATCACCCTCTCCTAATATTCTAAAATTGATAATATACTAGTAAAGAAATGAATGTGTTTGTCCCTATTACTTACGTTGCGTGAAAGCAAAGAACTATGTATAAGATTATGAAAGGGAGTTTGCTATGGCAGATGTCCAAAAAAAAAGAGTGCTTGCACTGTATGACTCAGTGTAAAAAAATTATTTTAATTGAAAAAAAGGCACTGAAATTGCCTCCAATACTTTAATATAGATCAAGCAATTTAATCTATAGAGAACTGAATAAATAACTTTTGATGTGTGTATGTCAAAGCTATCCTGCTATTAAATAAATGGGCTCATGTGTATATCTCTGACATGCTTCAGAATGATGATGTGATAAAGCACTGCACGCTACCCTTAAAATATTAGTCAACGTAATCTCTGTTTCTCTTGTTCTTAGTATGAAGTGCTGTTTTTACAAAGGCTAGATAAATGTTTAAGAGCACAATCAAGCTTTACAGTGTTTGCTGGAGGAGTTTTTTTCCTTCTCATCAAAAGGGTGGTGTATGTTTTTTGCATATTGTATTGCAGACCGTGCAATCCTGATCTCCCTTGATGTTGATGTCTGGGGTGCTGGTGATTAGGATATTGTGTACTCTTCCATTTGGTGGCCTCCATTTGCCACCAGTTGGAGAGGCTCTACTGTAGCTGGCCTATTTGGTGGTTTTCCTCTCAGTGGAACTCTCCAAAATAAGGTGGGATGCTGGCAGCTTGGGATCCCCTAAAGGGCTTGATCCTAGATCTTCTCTGCTATTCCAGTTATATAATGAAAAACTGGGGGCAGGAGCCGGGGGGCACGTCAATGCCCTGGCTGGTTTGATGCAGCAAGTTTTGGGATTTGGCAGTCATTCCTCTACTCCAACTTGTTGCTCCCTGGCCAGATTGCTGTGCTGCATGAGTTTCTCATACTATAAGCAACTTTAGTGTGTTAGAGTGAAATTTGATTCATCCCTGAATGAAAGAAGCAACAGCAAACAAAACCTCATGTGCTCATTAGAATGCAGCTCAGAGCAAAAAGGAATTGGCCAATTCAGGACAACAACTTTTTTGCTGAGAAGTGTCATGAATGTGCAGTGTACAGGTTGCCCAAAATAGGGTGTTCATTTTAAAAGTAATGCTAGGGTTACAGACACCAGTGAATGCAGCATTAGTGAACAGGGCTCCCCAGGTGTACACTGTGCAAGTGTATTAATACTGCACATGTACAAAGTGGCATTTGATTTAAATAAGAGGCTGGCCACATGTAACCTTGCATGAGTGATTTGCATTTATATACCCAGCATCACATTTAAATCAGGTGTGATCCCTGTGATGGGGTGAGCTCTCGTTGTACTACAAGCTGGCAGCAAGGTTGGTGGTTCGAATCCTCGCGACGGGGTGAGCTCCCGTTGCTCGGTCCCTGCTCCTGCCAACCTAGCAGTTCGAAAACACGTCAAAGTGCAAGTAGATAAATAGGTACCGCTCTGGTTGGAAGGTAAACGGCGTTTTTGTGCGCTGCTCTGGTTCGACAGAAGTGGCTTAGTCATGCTGGCCACATGATCCGGAAGCTGTACGCCGGCTCCCTCGGCCAATAAAGCGAGATGAGCGCCGCAACCCCAGAGTCGGTCACGACTGGACCTAATGGTCAGGGGTCCCTTTATTGCTGTTAGAGCTCTGTTTCAATGAGAGGAAGAAAAGAAGCAAAGCAACGAAGTTACAGTGACAAATCAAGGGGGGAGGCGTAGTAATTCTGGCACTGATCAAAATTACCATTTTATCTTCTTCAGTAATTCTGCCGTAGTAGTGGGTGGAAGTGAAGAAGTCCAGGTTTGATGCATTATATTTTTAGACCTTTTAAGATAGATCTAAATAGCTCACTTTTTTTAAAAAAAAGATAGTGTTATAACAAATATATCTGACAAACTGATGTGTTTCGTAACAAAAAAAATAACACTGATGTTGTGGATGCTAGCCATGGGGTGATCATGAGATTCACATTTCACATTTCTCACACCAATCATGATGGCAATAGATGTGGCTGGAGGGGATGTGCGTGCATTTTCTCATTAACAAAATACTGTCATTTGAGCGCAGGGCAAAAGCAATTTCTCTGCAATATAAGTATTATCTTAAATAAAGATGTTTAGATTTCATTCAAAAAAATGACCAGCAGCTATGTTAAAAAAGAAATTGTGGAAGTGCTGGATATATTCTTCAAATGTTTACAAAGAGAGATGCCTTCTGCAGATTTGTGTCTCTAATCAAATCACCTCTTGCAGCGTTAGCAGCTGGCATGCACCACAAAGTGGTCAATGCCAAGTGCTTCATGAATGATTATTTGAAACTATTTTAAAAAATCAATTGCTGCATAACATGAAAGACGCTAAGAAAAGTTGTGACATTAAATGGTTCAGATGTAACATCAAACCATGGTTTGATACTATATGAATGAGCAATTTTGGTTTGTCCACTCTCCACTTTTCCCATTTCACTGCCAGATCCTAGTGTTAAATCCTGATTTGCAGGACAACAAAAACCATAGTTAGCTAGTTCAGATGAAAGGAGGTAGGGAATTGCCATGTGCAAGGGTAGAAAAGGAGGAAGAGTGCTAACCCAAGGCTCCTTGACAACTCATTCATGTACCTCCAAATAATGGTTTAACATTATGTCTGAACCACCTTAATGGTATTTGAATTTTTGCAATCCTGATCAGAAAAGTTATTTTCTCTAGGGGGCGGGGAAGCCTACCTGATTTAATTCTAAGAGATCCTTATGTATGCTTTAATGTTCTGTGAAGAGGGGAGGGAAAACAAAAACCCTCTTTCACAGAAGTCTTCAATTGTGGCTTTCCAGCTTAACTGGAAAATAAGCCAAGACACGTACAATAAGTGAACTTTCCTGTTTTTCAACTGCTTCTTACCCACAGAACAAAGGGAGTGAACATTTTAAAATCACATACTGATAGTTTTTGTACCCTGACTTCCATGTTCAAGAAAAGAATATGTGGTCTATCACACTGGTATTTCCCCTTTTAAACTGAACATTCACCTGAGATTTGCACCTTTATACCTTATTAGACATTCACATTGAACTACAGATCCTAATAAACTTACAATGGATGGTAGTTTTCCTTAACTTTCAGTTCTCAGTAATTATTTGGAAATTAATGGTTCTGAATAGCAAAAGAGGACTTGGGTTGTAGTATTTGATTACACCAACGCTATACACCATTGTACTTGTGTTCAGTGTACACAGGGATTTCAAGCACAAGACTTTTTCTTTTTAAAAAAATCTTTATCCTGTAGATTGCTTGAGTCAATGCAGTTTGGTTTGGGAACAGAGAGAATCTAGGAGAGCAGTGAGAAATTTATTTCTATAGATTCTTGGTAGTGTCAAAAAAAAAAAAAAAAGGATTTTGCAATATTGCTGTTCCAGAGACTCTAGGTAGGAAAGTGAGGTTATTCATAATCATAGGATTCTGCTCTGTGATGCAGGAGAAAAGGGTATAAGCTAATCAAAGAAATGTAGTCCTGGAAATAGTAGTTAAAATTGGAATGAGAAGCCAGACTGGAATGTATATTATATAATATAGAAACATGCTTAATACTGAGTCAGTTCATTTGATCCATCTTCCTCCATATTGTCTACACTGGCTAGCAGTAGGTCTCCAGGAATTCATACTCAAGTCTTTTCAGACCCTGAAGCTTTTTCATTCAAAGCATATGCTCTAGCTCTGATCTATTACCCTTTCCTTTGAGATATAGAATAGATATAGATACATACACATACACTTACATATATTATAAATAAATCATGTTTATAAATTTTGTCCTGTTCTTAGCATTGTTCTTTGCCCCCACTTGGATGGGCAGCCATGTTAGGTTTAGAGATTTCAAACCTCATTTTTCTTTATGAATATATTCAGAGTAGCAAAATTACCTAAACACGTCAGAACATTAAGTACAAAATAGTTGTATTTTGTTGTTTTAACGAATTTAAAGCATTTATGTTGAAACACTCTGGGAAGTTATTGCCAGACGAATGATTGATTAATGTGGGAGATATCTATCCCAATCTAGTTTATTTATTAGCTTTTTAAAATTTATAACCAATTCTTTCAAAATTATGTTTTCATGTTCATGACCTTGAAAAATAATTTTGTTAAATTGCATGCCCTATGTATATACTAGGGCCCTGTTGCAATTCATAGATTAATAATGTATATTAAACACACACATCTGTATTGTATTTGCAAACCACAATGCTGAGCACATTCTGATTTCATTAGATCAGTAAGAAGTAACTTGTTATGGTAATGTCTGTAGAGCAATTAAAGTGTGTTGTACATGAATAAAAAAACCCCTATAGATTTCTTCTCCATATGGGTGGGCTATAGCTGAATGATTAGTATTTTATTAGAGTCCTTAAATCTATTGTGTAGTATTTCGGGAGGAGTCCATAGATCTATTTCAGAATATATGTGGAAGGTTCTGGTTCAGTTCCTAGTATTTTTCCAGAATTGAGCTCATGTAGCAGAGCTGAGGAAACTCTCCTGAGGACCTATGAAACAAAGGTTTGCCAAAGTATAAGGAAGCTTCGTATTTCTATTCAATTAGACTACAGTGACCTCCACCCCCCCCCCAAAAAAAACCCCTCATGCATAGGATCTTTCCTGGCCCACCTTTTTAGCAAATCACTTCATACCCCTCCACACCATGTAGCCCAAACTGCTCTAATCCACAATATCCCACATACTAACTACTGCAGCAACAACAACAGTACTTCATTGGAGCACCTTTGGGCTCAGACCTAGGATGGCAGACTCTGGAGGACCAGGAGGAGAGGGAATGGGAGTAGGAAGCTGGATCAAAGAAGCCCTTCCCTCCCTCTGAACACATCTGGCTTCAATGTATAAATAACCTAAATAAATAAATGCAAAATCTGGGCTCATAACAGACTGGTTTGGGTGGCAGAGAACTGTAGAATTCTAGGCTTCCTTTCTATACATTACCGACTATAATTGTTATTTTTTTCTTTGAGGACCCCCCTACTTCTGTTTCCTTGGGACTGAGGATGGAGGAGATGATTTTCAACTTGGCAGACACACATCTATTCTTTAATGATTTAGAAGTAAGTAATCATAGTTCTATCAAGACAAAATTTACTATTAGTTTCTTTTTAAAGGCTTGTAGAGTGCAATCATAGCTGGCACAAGGGAGGAAAATAACACTGGATCTGCAATGTCACTTCTGGTTCATACCAGCCTTGGCAGAAAATGAGGAGGGTTCCTCCTCACTTTTCACTCCAAGCTGGTGTAGCTGCCAGGCCCAAAGATCAGACCCTTCAGGGGATCTGGACGGTTTGGGGTCTGCTCCTGACCTGGTGGTTTGCTACCCATAAAAAGTCCAATTTCTGCGCTTTCCACTTGCTAGTGATGGCAGTAGAATTATTGGCAGTAGCTTTCTACTACCTGGATGCAGCTGGAGCCTCCCCAATGCAGCAAAGCCCTACCCTTGGTGACACCTATGTGCCATCCTAGTTCTACACACACCAGCCATCAACATTGGAGTGAGGGTTGTTTTGACCTATCAGAAATGCTTATTTGCTTGAATATGGCAGGGGTACTCCAATTCACATCAACTCGAACCAGCGTAACCAGTGGTCAGGGATGATAGGAGCTGTAGGCCTGCAACATCTTGAAAACAGTATGTTGGATAATCTGGAAATATGCTGCACAAGGGCTACATGAATATATTTGCTCACACAAAATATCAGTTGTAATGTGTTTCACTTCCACATTTAGTAGCTGAAAACGTTGTTTGGACTGTTGATGGCTACATCTTATTCAGTTATAATTTTGATCAAAGTATGCAAGTTCAAACATCGGAACATAATTGTTTATGCAGACAATTGAATATTAAACCTTGCTGCCTTCTTAATGATCACTAGGTGTATGTCTCTTTCTCAATTGCAACCCACTGGGAGGAAGTCTGTCTTTCAACCGAAGGAAAATCATTAATGTTGAATGATTGGTAGACTCAGCTGCTTATTAAAACGGTGTTTCTGCATAGGACTAGGGCTGGGCGATGTTGGGTCTTCAACATTGCCGTATATTGCTGGTGAAACTGCCGCCGCTTGAGTCCCTCTGCCTCTCTCCCCCAGCTAGTTTGTTTCTCCCTCTGTCCCGCTGGGCACTGGAGGCAGAGGAATTTAAGAGCAGTGACGGTTTCACTAGTGATATACCGCTGAATGAAGCTGTCATTGTTGTCTGCCCCCACGTACCAGTCCTGGGTGATACATTGATATATTGCCCAGGCCTACATAGTACATAGAGCTTGTTCCACTTCTTTTCATTAGGCATGCAAGTCTTGTGTGAAGACCAATTCATAGACATTTGTAGTTGATTGTGGTGGTTGTTTTCAGCTTGTCAGTAGACCTTTCCATTTGAGTAATGAAATGTGACCAGAGAACTAGCTGAATACAGCAGCAGGGACCTCTGTGATCAGAAGGATCTCAGCAGTAGAACTATTACATGAACTGGAAAAAGAAAAAGAAAAATGGGAAGCCATTTCAGTTGTCGATGCTGTTACTTTTGTATCCATCTTTTTGGAACTTTCTGCATAGACTTCCAGTAAAGTGCTTGTCTGTTTAATCTTACAATGGGAAAGGCAATTTCTGTTGTTATTATCATAAAAAGAAAAGAATATATTAAAACAGTCAAGTTTTGCTCCCATCATAATAAAGACAGCTGTTTATTTAAAATCCAACCATTAAACAAGCTTGTGGCAGGGCTGCCAACAGGCATTAATCATCACGTTGTTGTTTTGTTAGAATTTATAAATGTATGTTATTCCAGACAGGCAAAAGAATCCAAAAGATTCAAATACAACTTTTGCTGATCAAAGTTAATTGGCAGCAATTGGCCTTTAAATATTTCCTGATGTTTCCTTTTCTAAAAAATCAAGTAAAATACACCTTATTTAATAGATGAGCCAATATCATTTGAAAAATGCTAGTGTGTGAGGAACCTTAAATGTGGTTTCTCAGACATCTGTCCTATATTTTGATTTCTTTTCATCTGCAAAGAAACTACTCACAGATGAATTGGCAACTTAAGAATGTAATAAAATTATTTAAATGTGCTTTATTTTTTCTTTCATTCCTTAGTGAAGTATTTATTTCTTCACATTTAAAATGCAAGAATTCATGCATTTGCAAGTGTTTTCAATAATGCAATTTAATGTTAAAGACATTTATTGTTTTGGTATTGAATGACATGTATTGGATTGTTATTCTTCCAAAAAAGAAAATAACAAGGGTCCTTACTTTCCAAGGCTGTATATGTATTTTTGGTTGCATTCAATTTTATGCAAGCTATAAAAAATAGTATCATATCCTAAGCCTACATCCAATAGTTTATAGTGTTTTCTTTTGTTTTACCCAACCATAAATCTACATGTATACATATGTAAGGCCTTGTAACGTCTTGCAACTACAATTGATGTCAATAGAAATTAACTATAAGTTTAGTGGTTATGACAAAACGCTGGCAACGTTAACAGAGATTTTTGGAATTTACTTCGTATGCCACACAGGGCTTGCGAGCTGAGTTTCCCGAGCAGCAGCTTCTCAACTCACACTGTAAACTGCTTTTGAAACATGGTGACATTTCAAAAGCAGCTTCAGCCAGTCCATTTAAGCATGTGAATTTGTGATCACATTGTACATTCCTAAAAATATTATGTGCAGTTCTATTGCCGCACCTCAAAAAGGATGTTGAACCCAGTATATTGATGTGGAGTGCAGGAAAGTTTCTCCTGCAAGTTCCAAGGATTACCCATGCTTTTCAGAGCAGGACTTTTAGTGTGGCTTCCCTTGTTCTGTGGAATAGCATTCCTGTTGAGATACAACAGGTTTCCATTATCTGCACTTTCCAGAAACAAGTGGGAACTTTTGTTCTGACAGGCTTTTCTGGCTGGATAAATGGGTCTTTAGCACAAGTTTCGACTTGTTAGGGTTTTAGTCTTGTTTTACATGCGTTTGCTCTTTATGTGTTTTTAACTGTTTTTAATTGTCTTATGTGTAAATCACCTTGAGACGGTTGTTTAGAAGCTGATTAAGAAATCAATGGTGGTGATTAAGAATGATTATGGCAGTGGTAGTGATGATGCTGTTTTCAGTGGCAGTCCCTTGTTTTCATAATCTGTGGCTGTGCCTTTAGTAAATTATTCCACTAATACTGTAATATTTTATGTTAGTTGTGGCCCTGCAGTATTGTGGTAGAATGGACATTTATATTCTAGATAATAGTTTTGGAATAGAAACTTTAAAAAGACCAACTGCACAGTAATTCTCTGAACTATACATTTTCTTTTAACGCTCTAAAGGACAGAAAACAACATTCTTTCAGAAAATATGGAAGATTTTAATGTGCACTGCACTGCAAAACCTCACAATAGGTTTCAGGAGGGGGGAGTTTCTAGAAAAGGAATACTAATAGTTACACCTCATGTGATCATTATAAATAGTTGAATAGACAATGTGACCGCGTTTGAGAAGTATTTGGTCCTTATGAAAAGTTATGTGCAGATGTTTTGAACATGAAAACATTTTTTCTGCTTACAAGATTACCTGTGTTTCCGGCTTCTTGCTGGGTTATGACAACACTCTTTATTAGAGTATTTTGGCACATCTGGTCTCAGGCAGAACCAGGAAGTGTAGAGGCATGGGGAAAAAATGAAAAACAATGGCAAGGAAGTTATCTGAGCCTTTCAAACCCCTTAAACAGGTTTGTTTCCACTCTGCATTGAGTTCTAGGGAAAGCTTTGCGTCACTTTTGATTTAATCACCACTGGATGAACCTTCCTTTAGTTCAGTTTAGTGATGGATTTAACTGTGTGTCCTCCCTGCCCCCTGCCACCCACTGTTCTACTCTGGAGACAGACCAGTTGTAAGGTCATATAAGTTTCTTTCTTTATAGATCAAAGTAGACACTGAGCAACAATGAATAAACACCCCGGCTGCTGGGGTGTTTTCAGCATCAGCTTATTAGGCTGCCTGAAAGCACTGAATTATGTATGGGCTAGCAATACAATATATCTGACCTTTTGGTTTGTCAACTGTATTGTGTAAGAGCAGCATCCATATACATACAAGTTGGCTTCAGCTAGGAGAATTTGTTGCCTGCACTGGTCATTTCTCACTGGTCTGGCATGACCTGAAATGCTTCCTTGCAACTAATTCTTCCCACCCTGCAATGTTTTTCGTTTTCCCCCAACCCACCCTTCCTGCCTGCCTTCCCTCTCACCTGGTATGTTGTAAACTCTGTTTTTAACTTGAGGGAGCTTCACAGATGGCTTGTTATGTGGCCTGGGGGTTTGCGGAGATAGCATTTAGGATAAAAGCAAACCTCTTGGGCATAAACACCAACACTCTCAGTGAGTGACAATGAATTTATATGAATAGATGTTTTCTTAATTTCTTAATTTTCTCTCTCGGAATGTCTACACCTCTGGAATAATATCCTAAACAGTGTGGTCATGGTGCATTAGCAGGAATACAATTTTCACTCTTTTCATCTATATGGTGTGTTTGTTATATCTTAGGCTTTCCGCCATCAGAAAAAATAATACTGAGTACTGAGCTTTGCATTTTGGAGTATGATGGAGCAGACAAATCTGTACAATCTCTTGGCAGCAGCGAGGCATTTTTTAGTGCAGCTGCTGAGAAGCACAGATCACGTCCTCCAAATTCAAATACTTTCTCATGTGTATAGTTTTCCTTTTGCATAATATGACTCTACCTCTCAAAACAACTTACTAACCCACCTGTCTTCATATCCACATTATACATTTTCCATGATACTCATTTCCCAACATGCTGAGCATTCTGTTGTAAACACCAGTGCTATTCCATGTTCCTGTTTAGCTGAATTTCTAATTATCCAGATAAGGTGTCATTTACAAACCATTTATCACCAAGTGTACTTGAAAGTAAGCCCCATTGTTTTCAGTGGGATTTGCTTCCAAGTGGCGCTGTGGGTTAAACCACAGAGCCTAGGACTTGCTGATCAGAAGGTCGGTGGTTCGAATTCCCGCGACGGGGTGAGCTCCCGTTGCTCGGTCCCTGCTCCTGCCAACCTAGCAGTTCGAAAGCACAAAGTGCAAGTAGATAAATAGGTACCGTTCCGGCGGGAAGGTAAACGGCATTTCCGTGTGCTGCTCTGGTTTGCCAGAAGCGGATTAGTCATGCTGGCCACATGACCCGGAAGCTGTACACCAGCTCCCTCGGCCAATAAAGCGAGATGAGCACCGCAACCCCAGAGTCGGCCATGACTGGACCTAATGGTCAGGGGTCCCTTTACCTTTAAGTTTTCTTAGAACAGCAATCTTCAGCCATTTGACAAATCTGATTGCTCAGTAGTGCTTTACACTGCTACTTTGTAAACATTTTGTCTTGGTAATGCTATAACCAGTAGATAAGTTTGAGGAGTTTTTTTTTTTTCTATAAAGGAATAAAATTTACTATTTCATTGTACAAATTTTATGAAATTAATCAAATAAATAAATAAATGATATAGACATACCAATATAACTGTATTTTGTTCATTTCTACACACATAAACACATACATCCGCACTGAATTTATACTTACTCATACCTGCTAACATACCTATACTGTGCACATTTTTGATGGGGTAATTGAGATAGGTGATTTAGATGTGGCAGAGATATACAAAGCAAAAAAAGAAAAGAAGCTGCAATCCTAAATTCACTTATTAGAAAGTAAGTCCCATTAGACAAATTCAAGCTTGCTTCAGAGAAAACATGCATAACATGACACTATAAGTTTCTTATTCCAAGCAAACCTTATTGGAAGTATTTAAATCATTACAACTTGTGAAACAACTTAGCTAGGCTCAGTCTGTAGGATACATACTAGATATTTATTTTTTATGCTATTGATATAGTGCTTTTTAACAAAATATTTTCAAAGTAGTTTGTCAGTCTGTGTAAAATAGTTGCTTGGAGCTCCACATGATGTCCACATAACAAATGCTAAAAGAAATTTAGGCTTTTTATTTACAGATATGTTTTGATCATTTAATTTGAGAATAATTTTTTTTTTTATTCTCTGCAAGAATATCATAGAGTGCTTTGTCAAAGGTCTTGCTGAAATCAAGATACACTATGTCCACAGCATTCCCCTCATCCACCAATCTTCTAGCTCTATCCCCCCCCCCCAAAAAAATGAGATTCATCTGGCATGACGTGTTTTTGGGATTTGTTTTTATTTTATATTTTGCTACAAACAGGCAGCCCAAGTTGCCAAATGGTACTAGCAATGAAGAGCTTTACAGTGATACCTTGGGTTAAGTACTTAACTAGTTCCGGAGGTCCGTTCTTAACCTGAAACTGTTCTTAACCTGAGGCACCACTTTAGCTAATGGGGCCTCCTGCTGCCGCCGCGCTGTTCTCATCCTGAAGCAAAGTTCTTAACCCGAGGTACTATTTCTGGGTTAGCAGAGTCTGTAACCTGAAGTGTATGTAACCTGAAGCATATGTAACCCGAGGTACCACTGTATTAGCTTAAATGACTAAAATACTAGAGTTCATTTAATAGTGTATTTTCAGTCATTGTGGTTGCAGAAAGAAGCATGAAAACTTTATTCTCCATTCTTGCCCACAGAAAAATTCTAAACCCTGGCCATAGAGCCGTGGAGCAATCGCTGAATTCCAAGAAAGGAGGAGATAATTTTGTCTCTTTTGCTGTACCATCATCCTGCTCTGAAAGGTCCTGTTTTGTGGATTTTCCACAGGCTGTCACTGGTGGGAGAACCAGTGGCAGTAGCTTCCTGATCCCATGGATGCAGTGGGGACTTCTGCAGTAGCAGAGACTAATGGAGCCTGAAAGAGGGTTGCTCCTACCTTAATCCTAGTCCTTTGTAGCAGCTCATATAAGAGGATGGGGTTGCACTGCAAGTATCACTACCTGAAGTGCATTGAGCAGGGGGTGGAAAGAAAACAAAACTGTGTCCACAGACATATCCTGACTTAAGCCCAGAACCCAACAAGAGGGAAGAGCTGTTATTAAAACAAAAACAGAGTGAAAAGTGCACAGTTCAAGCAGATGGACTTTTCAGCAGCTACAGCTGCTGAATTTTATAGTCTTCATACTTGGAATTGGAAGCTAAATGAGGAGCAGCAAGAATTCAAGAGGATTAAAAGCAAACATGAGATAGGTGTGTGTTTGTGGGAAGGAAGCAAGTGAGGGGGTGGAACAGTCATTACATGTGTTTTGCAGTGACTGTAAGAGGAAGAAGTTCTGGAGGCTGAAGTGTTCTGCATTACAGAGTAGTTGGGACCTACTACTAGAGAAGTAGAGTAGTAAGCCCTGGAGTGTGGCTATCTACTGCAACATCCCATGCTTAGACTGAAAACTGTTCTGGATTGGGCCAAAAGGTCTACCTGCTACATTATCCTGTTTCTATCCTGTAACCTTGCTTGTTAAACAAATCATCTTAAACTTATTTGCGCTTTTCTAAACTGGTATACATTCTAGCTGAATTTTAAACAGGGAGCAGGGAGTTGGATCATTACTTTGTGTTGTTGTTGTTGTTGTTGTTGTTCAATTCTAGTTTCATCTGTAACTAACACTATTCTGGTTTAGTTGTGATTCTGTAACTGGCAGGTCTGCAGGAACTAGCTGGTTCAGTCTGCAGGAAAAAATAAAGGTTTATACCACTTCTTAGTTCAGATTCAGTTTGACATAATGCCCCAAGTTTGTTAAATAAATGTGTCTCCCCTCACTCTCCTTTTTAACTTTACCTCTCATTTTTGACAAGTGTACTCTTTGAAATTTAATATGACCATATTGGACTCTCTGGGCAACCTTCCATTTCTATATATGTTATGAAAGAATGGGAAATGTTGGGCTATTAGGTATTTAAGTGGGAGAGAGTTATTTGCAAAGTTGTCTGAAAACAATAAAGAGGAGTGGTATAATTCAGGCTTCCAGAATGAGCTTTAGATCCAGGGCCCCCAGAGTCTTCTTCTGTTTCAGGAGTACTACAATAAAACCTCTATGTGAGTTTCATTTAGTTCAGTGATTATTTTGTTCAGTCAGAAAACCTAGAAAGAGAATGACAAGAAAGAGAATTCATCCCATGTCTTATCAATCAGGCTTACTTGCTGTAGTCTATAAGTATGGGCTAAAAGAATTTAAAACCAATTAAGACAGCAAGTCTATGTACGCTATGGCCTTGACAGAATGTGTTAGCTGAATACTGCTTGGGGGGGGGGTTAATTAAGAAAAGGGTTACTAACCAAAATCTGTTGTTCTAATACATACATATTTTAGTGCTGGTTCTGATAATTCCTGGAAGGATAATTTCAGAAGGTCATGAGGTGAGATAAGCGTGTTGTTACCTATTGACACCCAGAGAGTTTTATCTTGTTTCTCTATGATGATTAACATATACATGAACTGCTGGAGGAAATAATCCAAGAATTTGTAATGTGGCATCCCACGCTATCCTTTCTATTGTCATTTCAGGGAAGATGTAGAGGTGCTGAACTGCTGTTGGAGGCTGGTAATAGATGGGATGGGAGCAAATAAATTAAAGCTTAATGCAGACAAGACAAAGGTGGTTAATTGAACTGCTGATCTAGTGATATGAGTTTACTTCTTCTCAATGCACATGCTTGCTGTGTGGTAGTACCTCTGGATCCAACTCTGAACCTAGATGACCTTTGTTGAGCTTAGGTTAGTATGCACACTAGAGGAAACAAATCTGGCATGGTGTCAGATGATTTCTTCACATCACAATTAGACTACCACAAAGTGTTGTACATGGAACTGCCTTTGAAAGGTGTCTAAAAACCTCTTTAGGTATGCAGTGCTGCACCCAGCCTACTGATTGGAACTGGTTATCAAGAACATATGACTTCCTTTTTACAACAGCTTTACTTGGTTTTAATTCATTTTTAAGCCCAATCCACAAGGCTGAGTGCGACCTTTCAACCTTTTAACAGCTTTGGAACTGAGATACCTGAAAGATCATCCTCCCCTATACAAGACTGCTTGCCCATTAAGACCTTCTGCAGAGGTTTTCTTTCACCTCGAACCAGCATCTGAACTGCGTTTCGTTGGAATGTTGAAGAAGGCCTTTCTGTGACTTGTCCTAAATTCTGGCATTTCCTACCAAGGAATACCCATATCACCCACTCTTTGATCAGCTTCCCCTTCTGTGCAAACTGGTTCCTTCCCCCCCCCCCTCTTTTTGGCAGGCATTTGACTTGATCTAATCACTTCTGTTTTCCTTGCTCTTTTTTAAATCAGATAATCTTGTTATTGTAGTTGTTTTATTATATTGTCAATTACCTAGAGCATTTTTTTAACATAAAAGTGGTGTTAAGTTTTTTTAATTAATAAATATAATCAGTAGGTGAGATGTAAAATGAGTTAGAAACTCATTGAAATCCTAAAATATTTGGTTTATCATACTTTCCTTTGTCTTATTTTTATATGGAATTTTTCAGTAAAGTGAATACTTCTAAACATAGCCTGGAAAAAAATTAATAAGACAAACAAATACAGCCAATTTAATTAGATTATGTAGAGTGCACAATCACAAAATGTGATGAAAATCATAGATTTCCTATTTTCCCTTTGAAATGCCTTTGAGACCTGACTCTATGGAACTTCCTACCATAGTGTATAATGAAGTTCTCAGATAGATGTCACTGTTAAGGAATGCTGCATTAACTATTTCCAGAGAAGTAGCAGTGCCCCCCCCCCAAAAAAAGAAAAACAGCAGTCTAGCAGCACCTTAAAGAGTAAGACATTTAATATGGGATAAGCTTCCACAAAAGTTTATGCCATAATACATTTGTTAGTCTTTAAGATGTCGCAAGACTCTTTGTTGTTTTTGCATCGTCTATAAAACCTTTAACTTTTGCCACCAAACAACCCCTCCTTCTGTAAGAGAAACCCAGTCGTTTGGTTCCTAGAGACAAGTTTTCACACACACACACACACACACACACACACACACACTGGTATGTTAAGGGAATTATTTACATAAAGAAATAATGTGTTGCTTTTCAAATGGCAGAATAAGATTGCTTAAGTGTACAGTTCTGAATTAATCAGGGTTCAATACATTTAGTTACAGTGCCTGGTATTTAAAAGTCTTCTCAAGCCAAATAAGCTCTCAGTAGCCTATCCCTCTGGCCAGATTTCTCTGACTTTCACTCCAGTCAATTGCTTACAACTAGGAACAGATGCTGTACAATAGTTCTTCCTGCTGCTTTTGACTGCCTCTAGTTCTTCCTCCTGCTTTTGACTTCTATGATAGTCCAGATGCTTCATGGACTGCTTGCTGAAATTCACCCTTTGGTCAGACCTCTGCTTGAAGCCATCTGGTGCTGGACTCTGCTGCCTACCTGAAGCTTCACCACAACTTCACACCACAGGTTCTTACTCTCTCCAGCCACCAGCTCTGGTCTCAGATTGCCAGCCTTAGATTTTCACAAATCCAAGTTCTATACTCTCCCAGTCAACAACTGACTGACTCTGTATTGCCTTTTGTTCTCCTGCTCCCCCTCCCATCCCATCAGAACCTCCTCTGAGCAATCATATTCTTGCCCCGACAGGGCTCTCACCTATTGGTCTTTTAGTGACCATTTACTGCTTCTGTACAGACCTTTTTACACCAATCAAAGTTACTGACCCCTTCAGCCAATACAGTTGCTTTTTATCATCCACCTGGTCCATATATGAACAAGTGGCTTCTCACGCTAGTTGTTTTCAGACTGTTACCTTGACATATCCTTTACCTTTGCAACTGTTACTAAGGTATCCACAACTGTCTTATGCCCAAATTAAAGTAGCAGAGACAGGCTTCTGGGTTAATTGGTTACAGTATAACTCAGAGGTTTTTCACATATATAACATAACATTACGCAACATAAGCATGTTCAAATATATTTTTTAAGCTGTAGTTACTTTCTCTTACTAGTTCAGCAAAATGATGCTATAAAAATGGGTTCCATATTGAATATAATATTTCAAGTTTTACATGACCCCTAACAATTTTTATGTCACAGTTTCTGGAGGGGTAGGTGGATGAGCTTGTCCATAAATAAAGTGTCCTGAAAACAAGCCTTGATAAGAACAACCAGTTGGTCACTGGTTCTTTATGGCTGACCAGATGCCCAGAAGACTCCACAAGCATAACCTGAGCACAACAGGGCTCTCCCCATATGTTGTTCCCAGAAACTGGCATTCAAAGGCAATCTGCCTCCAGCAGTATAACATAGCCACTGTGTCTCTGATAACCTGCACAAATTTGTCTGATCCTCTATTAAAGCCATCCAAGTTGGTGGCCTTGACTATATTTTGTGGGAGATAATTTTGCAGTTTATCTAGGTGCTGTCCTCATTCTTCCAACATACAGCTTCATTGGATATCCCCAGATTCTAGTATTGTGAGAGAGGGAGAAAAACATTTCTCTATAATCTTCTCTCTTTTTTTGACTGATAAATCTGCTGAATTCTTCCAATGGGAAATTATTGATTGCTCTTTCTGCTGCGAAAGAGTGCACAAGAAAATCTTTTGTACAGTGTAATCTGTAAATCTGTCAGGAAAATGCCCATGGCCATACCAGTTTGTTCAGAAAAAGGAACATTGATATGGTGTTTATTGTCCAATGACAAATACTGTTAGTTCAGACAATGAAAAGTAGCAGATCTTTTGGTCATTGTTATGCGAGGAGTGCTTCCTCTCGTGGAAGGAGTGAGAGTAAAACAGGGAGAATAGCTGCTTTCTACTATTGCTTATATTAAATTTTATTCGGTCACTCTCTCCCATCCTCACCTAAATTTAAATTAAATTCTGCATGTATTCAGTTTGCAAAGGAAAATCCTGCCTTTTACTACATAAAAAGTCAGGCCTTTTCATGTAATTTAATTTTTGTCTTAGCCTTTCATTAACAGGCATTGTAGTATGAATGTAAATTGTGTAGGTTCATTACACTGAATTTAACTGGAAGTATTTTGAAACTCTTCAAGGTCAGTTTTAATTCCTTGACTGTTAATCCACAAATTGTCAGACGGAATGAAATGGATTTCAAGAGCTCTCTTTGTTCTCTATATCTTGTGCCTGTCCCACAGGTAATCTGCACCTTTCTTCCTACCCTTTGCACAGAATAATTATTGTGGGAAAGTTGAGGAAATGTCCAGGTCACAAAGTGCAGACCAGACAGGGATGACAGGTTCTGCCAATTGAGGGCTAGTATTGAGAACCTGCGAACTGTAGTCTCTCCTTTTTCACATGGATTTATGTTGTATGTTAACAGGAATTTTGTGATGATGGGTTAGGCAGAAGCACTTAAGCTTTTACTGTCAGTAACTAACAGGAAGTCAGCAGTGCTCCCGAATAGAGACGAAAGAGGTACAATTAAAAATAATTTTCCTGTTATTTTGGAATGGCTTTTGCACATAAAAAGACCTATTTCTGCAAATGGATGCTGAAACTAGAGATTTAAATGCAAAATAAGTCAGTTTTAGCTAACCTTATTCTACCTTTTTCTAATTGGTTTTGCTAAACAGATGTCAGAAAAGGTTTGTTTATTAATGAAATTTGCTATCAGGCTATAAATTAAAATAATCCCGAGGAGGAATACAGTACCTGTGAAACTCAATAAAATCATACATTCCAGCTATCAATAACAAAACAGGTGTGATCACACATACACCATCAAATAACCATTTACAAAATGCAGCGTCTGCCTGTCTTCAGTTGGTTCACTACTTCCATCCTTCCTAATAAATACATCTTTCATTACGGCACTACATCCAACACAACTAAATGTACTCCACACTTTCCAACTAATTCATACTCAAAGTAGACCAACTGAAATTAATGGACACATGACAGGTTAGTAATTACAGTGGTACCTCGGGTTAAGTACTTAATTCGTTCCGGAGGTCCATTCTTAACCTGAAACTGTTCTTAACATGAAGCACCACTTTAGCTAGTGGGGCCTCTTGCTGCCGCCGCGCTGCCAGAGCACGATTTCTGTTCTCATCCTGAAGCAAAGTTCTTAACCTGAGGAAATATGTCTGGGTTAGCGGAATCTGTAACCTGAAGCGTATGTAATGTGAAGCGTATGTAACCCAAGGTACCACTGTAGTTCAATATAGTTCCCTCTCATAAAACAACTTCATTTTATATGTACTATGATAGTCTAGAATCAAAATGTAATGCCCTATCCCACATGCCTGATGGGGAGTTGCTCCAACCACGTTGCTGTCTACAGCATTTAAAAATGTTCTCATGAACCTTCCAGCACTGGCTTCTCTGGGGAGGGGAGTGCAGAACCAGAAGGAAAATTAACCAGCAGGTTTTCCAAACAGTTACTTTTTATGGCAGACAGAATGGGAAAAGGAGGCAATACCCTTAAGGCTCTTCATTGGCACATCCTCCAAGGATATTCATTTCTTTATGTAAATACCTATATATTAACAAATTACCTTGGGCATGGAGGTGGTGGTTTCACTCATTCCATGAGAGGAGGAAGAGGAGGAGGAGATTGTGAGCCAATGATAAGTAGGCACTGAACAAAATAGCAATGGATGCACTAAGGAAAAGATATTATATTGCCAGATACAAGAAATGGAGGAGGAGCAACCCCCTCACATCTCCATGCTTGGAAGCACAAACACAATGAAGGTATCAGGATTGGGTCCACTACACAGGTAATAAGTGCACATTCATTCATGGATCATAGTGAAAGCCCCACTCCAGCAACTCTCATAGAGCTCTGAAACATGTGCAATAAGTCCCTTGTTTTCCTTGGGCAAGCAGGCAATATTCTTCACATGCTTTGAAATTCTCCATGTGCAGATGGGATCCTTTCCTTCATAGTTTTGTGTAGGAATTCCCTGCAGGTGCAGGGCTTTGATACTTGGATATTCCATGAATGGGTTTTAAAATTAAGTGCGTCATCAAAGACAAATGCTACACTGAAACATGTAGACAGTTCAAACAGTTCCAAAATAAAGTTGTTTGCGTTTTGTGATTATGATTATTTATGGGGCCATATTTGTATACCTGTCCTGAGGGGTTCACCATCTAAAGGTTGACAGTAGTGAAATAAAAAACAGAGAGGGCCGGAGAGGAAGAGGAGGAGAAGGGATAAATGTTTAAACACATGCTTAGGTGTTGTTTCAGTTAGGAATGTCAAGGTGCACAAGTTTCTTGAAGTTTGTGCTTTCTTTGGTCTAATAAATTGCAGCATATGAAGAGGCAAGTAAAGGGAAGAATATTGTTGGAATAAACATGCTGTATTTTTCTTTTCAATAAAATAAATGCACGCACATACAAATATAGGTTTGAACCTTCAACGGCTTGTTCTCACACATATTTGGACCAATTTTCTCTACTGTTCGTTCAGTAGGGAAAAAAGTGAAGCAGTGGGGATAATTGCATAATGACAGATACAAGGGGAACAGAGAATCCACTGATCATTTCCTGTGAGTTGGCCAACATCCAGCCAGTCTCAAAGGACACCCTGATGTAAAGGCAAAAGGAAAAGAGCTAGCTCTGAAGGAGTTTTGTTTTTTTCTTTTTATCTCAGCTCATTTTACTTTGTAAAGCAAATCACTGAAACAATTAGTTGACAGCATGGTGTTAGTTTTCTCACGGTAAATTAGGAAGATTAAGCAAACATGGAAGTGTATTTTAGCTGTAATCAGCAGGTTTGGAACTCTGGCCTGTAATGCTTTCACATTCTCAAAGGATATATTTATAAAGTTTTTCATATTGTCCCTTTTCATTATGTGCAAACATGTCCAAAGCTTTTACACACACTGCTCGTTGAGGGTACGAATGACTTGATTTTACTTTTTTAATTTTTGAAGTATAAAAGTGGAGCCATTACATCATTGCAGCTGACATGCTTTTGGCAAAGTTAAGAGCCATTGTTACAGGTTTCTTCCCTTTGATTTTACTGCAGTATACTGAATAATAAAATGTATTTTATCTTATCATGTCACTTGTGCACCTTGAAAAATGACAAAAAGAACCAAAATAATGTAATTATAGGCAAAAATGGCCTCAGTTTAATGTTTGCGTACAGACTCATGTCCAGCTACCAACTTGCCAACAGCCTGAAAGTGTTTATTTCGATTGGTTGAAAGCAAGAGTTGGGAAATGTAATTGTCTGATCTGTCCAATGAAATGTTATTCAATGAGTTGTGTGAATCATGTGAGCATGTGAAAAAGTGGTTTATTAATGTGGTAGGGCTTTGTGTTTAGTCTGTAATGGAGGAAAGATATTTTGCATATTACCAGAGGCAACTGTTCTTTTCATTATTACATGCTAAGGTCCTGGTCTGAGTCCATAGATAGGTAGATAGATAGACAGATGATAGATAGATAGATGATAGATAGATGATAGATAGATAGATAGATAGATAGATAGATAGATGATAGATAGACGTGTGTAAAACATATTTTACCATTTCAACTAAAACGTGTTCAAGGCAACATCCATAAATAGATACAATTGATGGATTTAAAATACAACTTCTGTTGTCTTAGTTTCTTGTTCTAGTTAAAAAGCTAAATCATTTGTGGTATATATTGTTTTTGTTGTTGTTGTTGTTACTATTCATTTCATTTTGATACCACTTTATATTTTTAAGGGGAAAAAATCTCAAAGTAATTTACAACTTACAATTAAAACATCAAATAAAACAATTCAGAATAAAACACCACAGAAGGAAGTAAGATATAAAGCATACATTCAAAGCAACATAGTATTTTAGCTTCCTGTTAATTACCTGAAAAATTTCAAAATACAACATTACAAAGGAGGTCAACAACAGAATGCACATTTAAAGCAAGTTAACAAAAAAATCTTCAACATTTCAAAAGAGAACATTACTAAGGGAACTCAATATAAACTGTACATTTAAAACAGCATAGTTAATAAGAAATTAAAAACTACTGTAAGCATTGTTCAACTATTCTACTTAAAATCAGTTCATAGATAAAGAATCTTAAAAAAAAATCGCATAGATTGGAAGACATGTAAGTTGCACATACAAATCAGAGACAATTGTATTTCTTGTGGAAATTTCATAGAGATTTAAATGTTTGTATTTAGAACTAAATGCTTTTTTTTTTTTACATTATTACAATGTTGTGACCTGTTACAATTATAAATAAAGCACATGTATTATTTGCATATATCTATGCAGGATACATATCTTAAAACCTCATTAGTTATCCATTGCAGTTCTTCCTTGTTTATTTTCTGTGAGCCTTTGAAGTTGTCAGTATATCAGAATTTTCAGAAGTGTAGCAATGAAGAGAAGAGATTGACAGGCTGTCAGTCATTCCACTGAAGTTCATTTGACTCAAATCCCAATTGTCCCAATTCAGCAAATTAAAGCTTTCAGAAGTTAAGTCTTGTAAACCTGTTGACACTTAATTATACCTAACCTACACTGAACAATGCTTTGAATGCTTCCTCCTTAGATCAAAAATCCCCAAAAGGCAAAAACAAACACAGGATGTTTAGAGAATAGACACAATAGATTCATTAAGAATTAGAGGGTAATTGGATTCTATCAGCTGAATTTGCTGTTTAATTTTTTCCCATCTCTCCCAGCAGTTAAAGAATTTTTCTCTTTCGAAAACCTGGGATTTACCTCTAGATTTTATATCTTTGCAGTACCATTTAAAATAGAACCAGTCAGCCTTTTATCTTTTGTTTACCTTTCTCCCCCTTCATCCACTGAGCTGGTCATGGTGCCTCTTTTCATTTTCTCCACTTCTCTTTCATTCCTTTCTTGGTGTTACCTCTCTCCATCTTTTCTGACTGTTTTTGTTCTGAATTGATTTTCCTACAGTTCCTTTTTCACCATCGATATTCTTCCCGCTCTCCTATCCAGAATGTTCCACTTATAATCTGTCCCACTTGTCTTTTTCCTACTCAGTGCCTGAAAAAGTATCAAATATATATTTTTTTAATTTTAAAAAGTCTCACTTTCCAAAAGTGGCAAATGTTGGGAGATGTTACTGCCTAGTTGTGTGGATTATTGCCACACTTTAGAAAATGCATTTTACCTTTATGTGATTGTTCAGAGGCTATAGTGTTGCAAGAGGACCTAGAAGATCAGTCCCAGCAAAAAAAAATTCATAGGCTGTCATAAGCAAGCAAATAGTAATTCATTCCAGTGATTGAAAAGGGATTCATTATGACTACCTTGTTTCAGATTGTAAGCCTATATAATTTAAGGATTCTGATTGTACTTCAGAGTTTGAATAATAGTAATAGTAATAGTTAATAATTGGATTCTGAATGCCTTGGTACTTGGACGTTTTGGCTCCCAAACACCACAAACCCAGAAGACAGTGTTCCAGTTTGCAAACATTCTTTGGAACCCGAACATCCGACAGGGCTTCCGCAGCTTCCGATTGGCTGCAGGAGCTTCCTGCAGCCAATCAGAAGTTGTGCTTTGGTTTTTGAACATTTTGGAAGTAACAGACTTCCAGAACACATTCCGTTCGACTTCCAAGGTAAAATTGTAATAATAATAATCCTATTATGCCTAGGTAGTCATATATTTTTTAATCCTCTTAGCTAGCTGTGATGGTTGGTTAGTGGAGTAGAGAAGAGAAGGGCAACTAACAGAACATGTCACACTCAGATCCTGACTCCCCCTGGAGCCCCCATCACACCCAAAAATCTGCTCCCTCCAATTTTGGGTCTTGGAAGAGCTGTGGGTTCTAAGTGAAGGGAAGCAACTTTGGCTCTAACCCAATATTTTCCTTATGTTCCAGACTCTCTTAACCCCTTTGTAGGTATACTATTATTCCTTTTCACTAGGCAGCTAAAAACTGTGAAACAGATGGGAGCAGTTCTGCTCTTGTTAACTCTTGCCTTTCCTTCAGCTTTCCCAGAGTTTATATAAATCATATTGCATTATTGTCCTTTCTGTTTCCCTGCCGTTATTTTGCTTTGATGCCATGAAGAACTATTCTGCTTGCAAACATGTATGTAAAAATAACGAGTAACCAAACTCCATACATGTATGTGTGTATATGCATGCACATACATATGTAGGTGTGCACACAGGTAAAGTTATTAAACATATGTTAATTGATTCTCCTCGGACTGGTGCACATTAATTTTATTGCTGCTGCAACTGCCTGCATCAAATAAAATCTTGGTTCAGCACAGTGGTGATGGCATGTATCTCTATAATTTGCCATTGGCAATCGATTTTCTGTGCTTCCCTTTATGCATTGCTCCTGATTTTCATATTTAGAATAAATTTGGTAAGACAGTTTTAATGTTAATAAGGATAAATTCAGAGAGTTGTAAAAACAACTTATATATGAAAAATGTTTGCCATTCAATTAATCTTTTTTCAACCATTATTTTACTGCAGTGTAAACCTAACTGTGCTGCTGGCAGTATGCATTTTAAACTTCCAGCAAACTTGCATTGAACAGTAATATTTAATGCTTCCAGCTTCTCTGCATCCTCCCCCCAACACACACACACATTGGTGCCAGTGCTGTGTTCCACTGTTCTGTGCTATATTCTCAAAAGGCAATCTGTGTTCAAAAGACTCAGACTCATAGCCATCATGTGAGGCCACATAGACTCCCCCCCTTTTTTTTTCTTATCTGAGGTTGTTGACCTCAGGAGAGGAGAAGAAGGTTATGAGGTCAAAGTCTTTTCCTCCTTGGAGCTCACTGCTTGCTGGGAGAGGGTTGGCTGGAAAATAGATGTTTTAGAACAGGGGTTAAGGGTCATGATTTTAATTCTGTTAGGGAACAGCTGTTTTGAATTTCTTTCCACTTCTATCTCCCCTCCCTCCCTCCCAAGTCCAGAGAGAGAGAGAGAAATTTGTTCAGAGGGAACCAGCAACACAAAAATACGTGGCTCCAATGTATTAGTTCTTTTTAAAAATGGACCAACTTTGCTATTGGCCTTCACTTCTTTAAGAGAGGTCACAGACAATTGTTTAAATATCTGAGAAACAGAGCTTAGATTCAAATGAAAAGTGCTATTTTGGAAGGTGTTTTATTTACTCATCAAGTTCCAAATGTTACATAGCAACTGATGTTTTCCTGCCCAATATTGAAGCAAATGGAATGCACTCATGTGGCAATTTTCAGGCAGATAAACCTACATATAAAGGTATGGGGCTTAATTTGTGTGCAGAGGTTTCAAGGAAGGAAAGAGTTACTTTGTAGATTTTAAAAGTGTTCCTGCAGCACTCTGGATTTGCTAATTCCATGTTTTAAGAAGAGATTGGGTAGCCAGGAGAAAGAAGCTCACAATTCTCAAGTGAATGGAAAACAAGTAACAGATTTTTTTTGGTCTGCAGTATTCTGAAACATTGGCCTCAGGCTGTGTTGGTGTGTGGCTCAACAGCAATCAGAGGTCATAATTTCATTGGTGGTTAGCATCAGGTTTAATTTTTCTAATATGTTACATTTACCAAAATGTCTGGTTTTAGTTATGCACATACATTGCCTGAAACAGCTTTGAGTAGATTGAAGTCTGAAGGTACCTGAAAGGCTCTAAGAACATGTACAGAACTAAACATGGTAATTGTTTCAACTACCCTCCTTTTTAAATATGCAAATATTTTCCACCAATTCCACTGAAGAATAACATCTAAAAATAGAGCATGCTTGTTACATTACAGCAACATAAAAAGTAAATTAATTTGTTGGTTTTGCAGGTTTGCTTGTTTTTTTAAAAAAATCCTCTGGCACAAATTTTTTTTGTATTGTAATTGTCAAATAAAAGTAAACATAGTGGCAACCTTCTTTCATTGTAGGAATGTGACCAAGTTCATATTGATGATGTTTCATCAGATGACAATGGCCAGGACTTAAGGTAAATCCATACTGATTTATATAAGAAGGCGACTGAAAAGGAAATACTGAAATAAATAATAATAATTTTAGTACAGTTGTTCCTTTGGATTTTTTTGCAACTCAGCTAAATTGCCCATGTAATGTTCAGTTGTTCTTGGTCTGGAATAGTCTGATTATTGTTTTGTTTTTTTTTAATTTCTTGCAACTAAATCAGCACCTATAACTTCGGAACAGATGGCTTCCCTGCAGCAGCTACCAGCGCTAATTTATGCTTAGCAACGGGTGTGCGTGGAGGAGTGGACTGGATGAGAAAACTGGCCTTTCGATACAGACGAGTAAAAGAAATCTACAACACCTACAAAAATAATGTTGGAGGCAAGTGCCCGTCATACTGCATGCTGCTTAATAGTCTCCTTGCTTTCTGAGCCGTTTTCAACATGGCTGTGTTTACTCAGCTACTTAGAGCTGCACACTTTATAGATCTGTAAGATGTGGTAAGTGATCTTAGCTGAAATGCAAACACTACAGTGCTTGCTCCTTTCCTCCCTGCAGGTCTTCTGGGTCCAGCAAAGAGAGAAGCATGGTTGCAGCTTAGAGCAGAAATTGAAGCTCTTACAGATTCTTGGTTAACACTTGCACTAAAAGCACTCACACTAATTCACTCTAGGTAAGTGGGTTCAAGCTGGGGCAGCAACACATAGTAACATGAAATATAAATTAGGGCATTTCCGCTAATGACACTATGTATCTTTACCACTAATATACATTCCCCCCCCCCCAATAAAGCTTGTGCTTGTAATTAGCAGGAAGCTGATCTTTTAATCCCAATTGTAGCTCCCTGGAATATGAAAATTAAATTGGAATGATCTGGTGGGTTTCTATATTTGTATAGTGATGTTGCCCTAAAAGTGCATATTAAGAGTATCACTTTTGCCTTTCAACAACATAGTATTTGTTCTGCAATAGGGATGTGCAGCAGAGGGATGGGGAACCTTTGGCTTTCTGGAAGTGTTTGGACTACAACTCCCATCACTCTTGACTATTGGCCAGGGGTAGGCAACCTAAGACCCGTGGGCTGGATGCGGCCCAATGCGGACGGTCCAGGAATCGGCGTATTTTTACATGAGTAGAATGTGCCCTTTTATTTAAGATTCATCTCTGGGTTATTTGTGGGGCCTGTCTGGTGTTTTTACATGAGTAGAATGTGTGCTTTTATATAAAATGCATCTCTGGGTTATTTGTGGGGGATAGGAATTTGATCATATATTTTTTTCAAAATATAGTCCGGCCCACCACATGGTCTGAGGGATGGTGGACTGGCCCACGGCTGGAAAAGGTTGCTGACCCCTGCTATTGGCCGTGTAGGTTGAAGCTGATGGAAGACATAGTTCAGCAACATTTAGGCCAAAGATTCCCCACTCGTGGCATAGCAGGAGTGTCTGCAGCAAGGGAGAGAGCAGGCAGGTAGATAGGGGTGAAAGGGGCAGTTTGTTATTTGGCTGCTAAATTGGGAACAATTACTGCTTGCCCCAGGCTAGAAGACAACAAAATTGCAGCTCTGACTCTATATAAGTGTGATTTCACAAACCATTCCTTGGCATATCTTTGCCAGTGGAAATGTCCTGCAGGTGGAGGTGGTACATACGGTGGAGGAGGATCTGGATTTCTGCTGGCATAGAACAGCTTCCACTGAATCCTTTAGCCAGCAGATTTTCAGTGTAGGATTGTGCCCTTAGTCTTGTTAATATAGCAGCACCTGTCTATGCTGCTATGCCAGTGCAGCGTCCCAGCGCTGACATGCTTCATCAGAAGAGCAACAGCTTCAACAACAACAGGTGTACTATAGAAATGCTGTTCCTCTGCCTGTGGACGTTTTCTAACTATGGTTCAGTCTGTCTCTCCTACCTTTCCCTTTCCCGGTTTTAAACGAGGATAGTAATATGCTTGTAAAATGGCAGTCTTTGTTTGGTTTATGAAAGATACTTTCCCTTTCTTCTAGGACAAATTGTGTGAATATTCTAGTGACGACTACTCAGCTTATTCCAGCTCTTGCAAAAGTCTTGCTATATGGCTTAGGTGTAGTATTTCCAATAGAAAATATTTACAGTGCAACTAAAATAGGTGAGTTATTTTTACAACAAACAAAGCCTATTTGCTTGAAGCTATAATTTCAAATGAGATGGCACAATGATTGAGATAGAAGTGTCTCTTTACTAATACAGAAACACATGCTTTGTTTACACATGCAACAGACTTGTGCATCTTTCAGAATTTCCTGGGGCTGTAATTATTAAACTAAGTCTTAATAACAAGAAACATTGATTAAGTTAATTTTGAAAATCTCATTTAGTCTGTCCTATTATTGCATCTGCCACTCATTTTGTGATGTGTGCTTCTAATCTATCTCTGCTCATAGTTCAATGCTTAAGCAGATCCTTATAAACAATTCCACATTCTACTTGTTTATTTAACTGTACATTACACCACTAAAATACTAAGTCAAAAGGAGACTCCGGAAATGCTTCCCATGAGCTATTTTTATATATAGGCCAGGATCCAAAGAGCTACCTTAGGTGTGCCCAAGAACTTGTTTACACCCACTGAGATTGTTGATTTCCCCCTCCCGCTTTGAAAGCTGATTTGCCATACCAGAAACTGCCCTGTGAATCCTCTTTTAAAAATGGAGCTTTCCCCTGTGGCTTTGGGAGCTGCTATTAAAGGAACATAATTCTGAAATATCATGTAGTTCTTTTGATACTAACCATTGTGTATAGACAGAGATATCATCATTCTGGGCGATGTCCTTAAAATATTATTCATTTTTATAGTGTGTTTTTTGTGTACAAAGTTCTTCACCGTTCTGATTTTAGGAATGCAGGAAGCCACCTTATGCTGAGTCTATTGGTCTATCTAAGAGCTTAATATTGTCTACACTGACTGGCAGGCACTGGCAGGGGTTTCAGACAGGGGACATTACCTGAGCCTTACCTGGAGGTGCCAGAGATTGAACCTGGAACCTTCTGCATGCAAAACAGATGCTCTGCCACTGAACTATCTCTACAACAATCCTGTGAAGAAAGTTATGTTGACAGAGATGCACTTATATCCAGTCACTGCTCAGTCTCTACCTAGAAACATAAGCTTGGATCCAGAGTTCCTATGAATGAGTTCTGCTCACAGGATGCTGCTGCTGAAGGAAGGGGGTGAGGTGATTTATCACCAAGTTCTCCTTCCCCTGTAGTGTCACGTGTCTCCTGAAAAACTGTTTCGTAAGGTTGGGAGTTCCTCTAGATCAGCATGAGAGGTGGCACAGAGGGTCCAGTGGGAATTGGCAAAAACTGCCTTCACATCCCTTCCTTCAGAGATAGCCTTCACTAGATCTCAGTACTTTCTGTGAATAGAAGGAGCCGTTCTGTTTGATGAAGGAGCACTCTGGTTCCAACTAAATATCTTCAAAGCTATGTGTGCAATTACCCTTCCTTATTCCATTCATAGAGTCATAGAACTGAAGAGTTGGAAGGGACCATGAGAGTCATCTAGTTCAACACCCTGCAATGTAAGGATCTTTTTGCCCAAAGTGGGGCTCGAACCCATGACCCTCAGAATAAGATTCTCATGCTCTCCTGACTGTTTCATTTCACTTCATTTTGCCCCTGTTGCACCTATACTAGCCATTTCATATTCACATACATACACAAGTTCTCTTCTCAAAACCATGAGCTCTGGGTTTTTTTTATTCAATAATGCCGAATATTTACATGGGTGCACACCAGTAACTTTGATAGTGTATGCAGAAATAGCAGCCTTGCCATGCCACTGAGTCCCTTCCCTGGAAGAAATTGGCAACGTGAGAAATAGGGACCTTAGTGAATATCCATGGTGAATTGGTGGATTTGACCAGCATTGGCTTAAAATACCAGAAAAGTAAGAAGCCAGGGAAGGGAAATAAGTCGAAGTGTAGGCTACATCAGAGCCTTGTGGTATTTTCAGTGACCATTCATGCAAAAAAATAAATAAGCTAATGCCAGGATAGGGTTATTGGTATAATATAAAATGTTTTTAGCTACACTAGTTGGTTTCTTAAAGTAAAATGCAACATGGTTTTGGTTACACCACCTCTGGTGGTTTATGCTTTTTTGTTTTTAGGAAAAGAAAGCTGTTTTGAGCGCATAATTCAAAGATTTGGAAGAAAAGTAGTATATGTTGTTATAGGAGATGGTGTGGAAGAAGAACAAGGATCAAAGAAGGTAATAAGTCAAGGTTTATATTTCTACAGCAATGTTCCTTTGAATTGCAGGTTCTAAGCATCTCATTAATACACGATCTTTGCTGCTGGAGGTAATCATGTAGAGACTGGGCAGCCATCTGTTGGGGTTGCTGTAACTCTGGATTTCATGCCTTGAGCCCAGAGCTGGACTAAGGATTATTGTATTAGTTTTCCTGTGTTATACGGAACTGTGGTTTTTAGGTTGATATACCGCCATGTCACCCCAAATTTTATTCATACCAGTGGGCATGATGTGACACAACAGCTGATGTTATAGACATTTTGCCACCCTTTTTTAGCATGTGAGCTTCAGTTCACCCATGAAAACTGGGTAAGAACTGTATTCTGGAATATCGCCCTAAATTTCATCACATGAGCAGTGGTAGTGTGATCCATGAAAATCATGGGGAAATTACTGTACAAAACTCTCATGATTTTCTGGGTTAGCAGAATTGCAATCTGTTTTTTTCATGGAAGCAATTCACATGGAAATGAGTCCTTAGATTCCTCTGGATTTCCAGTAGTGCCTTTTACATTGTGTGAAAGATCAAATAAATCCTGAAAATTAACAGATAAGAAAATGTCAGGGAAAGGAGGGGGGTGTTATCTGAACACCATGTGCATTTGGGCCATATAAATGACTTACATTTATTAAGCCTTCTTGCCTAAATGAATTACATTTTTAAACTAATATCCAAAAGTAAGAGAAATATCTACATTTTGATTCATTTTTATATTCTGTATCAGGGGTGGGGAAGCTTTGGTTTTCCAAATGTTGGTAGACTCTGACTCACACCAGTATAAGCCAGCACGGCAAATTGTTAGGGACAATGGGAGTTGCAGTTCAGTAGCATCCAGAGGGCCAAAGGTCCCCCACCCTTATTTTTTATGAATAGCACTGAATTCCATGTGCTGGTGATTAAAAAGTCCTTTGCCAAAAGAACTGTGCACTTATATCAGTGCCTAATCTAAATAAGCAGTTTCTGGAAGTTTCCTTCACAAAACTTTTACATTTGTGGAATGGATAGATAGTACAAAACATCCTCCGGAGGCATTCCTTTCATGTGTTCTTTGTTGCCGGAAGGAATTTCCAGTTTAGGACAGAAGGAAGCATCTAGATTTTCTCCTGGCAAAGCAACAGTGAATTCAATGGGATTATATTAACAAGGAATTTTGTAACTATATGTATTTGTGCCTAAGAAAAACATCTTCCTGTGTCTACAACCATTCAGATTCTTATCTCACCTCAAAAATACTACTTTTCAAGCTCCCTGTGGCTATATTTATATGCCTTTAACTTAAAGGTCTCAATTGTGGCTTTGCCCCAAGCCCAGAATAATAAAGGACACCCTGTGGTTCTGTTGCTCCCATATCTGCCAGCAGGGAGATTTTCCTCCAATTTTTCCTGTTCTTTTGGGGAGAGAACAAACTGTGCTGGCTCTCTGCCCACCACAGCAAATGCACTTTCTCTGTTTTGTTGACCTAAGCTGGCACAGAGTTGCAGGGAGAGGCGAGCTGGAGCCAGTGCTGCACCCTTTTTAACACATCTATGGCACACCACTGCAGTTATATAACCAAAGAACTTCATGCTTCCTTTCTAACATAGACCGAGCTTTCAGTCTGAATAGTTAAATAGCCGAAACTAAAATAAAAAAGAGAAATTGACTTTTGAAGTGAGCTGCTTTTCCATACAATGCAAACTAATTTCACACAGTCCCAGTTGTTCCTTGGTTCAAGTGGTCAAGCCAGTTTCCCATCCCAACCACCAGCTGTCAGTCAAGTAAGCGAAGCAGCTATCTCCCAAAAGCCAGCTCCTCCTCCACTCGCTATGTCTAGTTCCTTCGCTGGCTATGTCTCATCCATTGCCTAATGCCAGCTCAGATTTGATGCTGAAAACACTCAGTGCACCTTTAGATATTCCTTCGTGAGGGAGTAAGTGAACTGGAAAAATGGTGATGGTATGACACACAGTTATTCTCAAGCATTCAAAATTGTCAGTATATAAGACTGACAAATGCCATTGTACATTTTTTTTAAAAAATTATTTAGAGAGTTTAATGTGTAACACCAGAAACCACATTTTCCCTGTGTGAGTTGCTGCCTAGCCAACCAATCAAATATTCTATTCCAGATTTGTTTCTGATGACAGTGGCTTGTCTGTGCAGTTTATTAAGATGGTGTCAGAAAACAGTTAACCATCTAAAAACTTACAGATGTTACAGACTACAGGGGAACAACTAGCACTAGGGATAATAGCAGCACTGATGGACTGGAAACTGATGTGGTTCTACAGAAACAAGCTAAAGGGCAGAAAACTACCAGAAGGAAGCTGCTAGGGGGAATGACATGTGGTTTCAGTTGTCTCTGTACTAATGCACAGAGCATGGGAAACAAGCAATACAAATTTGAGGTAATACGGGATGGTAAATAATAGGCATTACTGATATGTGTTACTGAAACAGGGTGAGATAAGGCTCATGACTGGAATGTAGAAATTGAGAGGTATAACCTGTTCATAGGAATAGAACAAATGGGAAGGGTGGAGGAGGAGCATTATATGTAAAGGATGTGTACATCTATCAGGGGAATGCTGTGGGCGTAGTCTGTCTTGATTTCAGTAAGGCTTTTGACAAAGTATTTTTGCAAGGAAGCTGGTAAAATATGGGCTGGACCAGGCAACTTTTAGGTGGACAAAACTATAAAATCAGTTGCTTGAGGAACTGATGTTTTTTTCATATATTACCATGTATAACAAAAATTATTATACATGTTGTAGTGTGTTGAAAAAACTAGATGTACATAACAGAGAGCCCGGTTTTTTTTGCAATCTTAAACCAAACCTGTCAGAAAAAGAGAATGTGCATCCTTTCAAATGCACCATTTTTAAGGCATCCCTTTTGATTGATTAAAAGAAATATGTTTCACTCAGGATGCAACACACTCTTATATTTCACTTGAAGTGAATAAGTCATGGCATTGTCACCTTTCCATAAGCTGTTATTTCCTGCAGACTCATTTTATAAGACAATTAAAATATTCAGACTAAGCAGTAATATAAAATGGGGGAAGCATATCTGGACTAGTTCATAGAACAGCTGATGCAGGTGGGATTATGAGGAGTTCGGGATATGATGCATAGAGTTCACTGTCTTTGTATTTGCCTCCTAGGAGAGAGGTTGTTGTGCTAGGAAATCCCTATACATAAATGCTATTAAAATTACGTATAGAACCTAGCAGTAGATGTTTACTGGAATATTTGGTTATAAACCTAACCATTCCCAAATTACAGTCTTCAGCTTCTTCATTTGCAAACAGATTCAAATACATTTGGGCTCAGATTCTTTTAATGAGTTTGCAGTAATATAAAATTAGTAATTGCCACAGGGGGTATATGGAACAACTTGGAGCATGTTTACTTTTCAAATAGCAAAGTGTGCAAAAAGTATTGAGCTTTGTTCTATGTAGAACAGTAAGAAAAGAGGATCACTGTGTAAACTGCTAACAATCAGTGAATCAGTAAGTTTATGCCACGTTCTGTGGCTGTTGTTACATTGTTGTCTGTTGGTTAGCTCCGAGTTTTTGCTTAGGACTTGAAACAGAGATGTGTTGGGGCACAACTGAGACCACTTTTGTGCTTTTTCCACACTAGAATATGTTGATTTTACATTTGTTTTCTGAAAGCAACACTGTAATGAATTCAGCTAATGTTCCTACACAAGGTACCGACATGCGCTGGTTTGAAATCAGCACAGACTGTGCTTTCTACATTAACAAAGTGGCAGATGAGAGACAGGGGTAAAGCACCCAAACTCAAATGCACCCCACTGCTGCTTCTCTGCTGAAAAACCACCCCTTCTTGATATCACAGTTTTGTTACATGTGTTACTGTGCAATGTGTAGCTAGACCATAAGGCAGCTTCTAAATCAGCTAGACAAAAATCATAGCTGTGGATTGACATGATAGCTAAATGGATGCTGTCCAAGCATGCTGTGTCTCTCAATGCCAGGTAGGTGGGACAGAAGATACTGCAACAGCTGTTACCTTCATGCCCTGATTTCAAACTTCCCAGAGGCATCTGGGTAGCTGCAGTTGTTGACTAGATGTACCCAGCAAAGCCTTGTTTTGTCCTTAGACTCTTAAACAGGAGCCAGCCTTGGAGTACTGACAAATATGGCTGGAGAATGAAGTGGATTAACTTGGGCAATTTCCCCCCTTCTGCTGTCACTCAGGGCTTATGCTGGGCTGCTTCATCTTTCCCTTTCTGACCACAACCTAGGTTCCTAAGTGGAGTAGCTTGAGCCCAAGCCCTGGGTGAGCCAAAGGACAGCAAAAAGGCGTTGGGAGGAGGAAAACACAGCCCTAACCAGTCCATTCCTTTCTTTGCCAGAAATCTCCGTATTTCTCTTAGACAGACTCCGACTTCCTACTATTAATACAAGAGCTGCAGGAATGGCTAGTAGATAAAATCAGGGTTTGCCCCATTTATGCCATATAGATTGCCTCTTTCTCTGGTCTTGCTCACAAGCCAAACCATGCCTTAGCATGAACATGCAATAAGATTAAGCCTGCTTCACCCCTCCCCAATTGCTTTGCTGCTAAACCCTGCTGAGCCATGCCATAACCTTGCTTAGTGTGTCATCCAAACACAGGCTTGTGATTTAGCTCTAACTACATGCTGTAATGAAGATTCATTCTTGGTTTACAGATTGTGGCTAGTCTGGAGAAAGCTAACCCATAAACTTAGGTGTGGATGACACACTAAGCCAAGCCAGGGTTTTGCTTGGTGCAACACAGCAGCAAAATGACCATGGAGAAGCAAAGTTGCCACAGCTTTCTCTCCAGGAGCACACACGTTTGCACTTAAGTCATGGTTTGCCACAATGTGGCATGCAAGCCAGGCTCTCATATTATAGCAGCTTAAGATTTAAAAAAAGGATTCAGCTATTTGTTGCATACTCTAAAATGAACTGTGCACATCTAAAATAATAGAATCCAAAACATACTTCACTTCCTTTACATTTCAAATGTCAAATATTTTCCCATGGGATAGCTTGAATGTTTTCTCTCTGAAAGGTTATGGCTATCTTTTCTTATTATTTGTATAAAATATTTCACTGACATCAAAAGTCCTGCTTTTATAGCTTTAGGGTAGTATGGTTTCACAATTACATTTTCACCCCTCGTGAATGATATTGTGTATTTCCCTTCCCCCACCCCAGTTGTTCATATCTTTGGTTTATTCAGGTGTCTTGCAAACACACTTGTAAGTCCAGATTCAAATTTTCCTTTTATTTAGCTAGTAGAATGAAATGTAAACATTCATCTTTAAGATATTTCATTTGGGAAATTTGTTACAATGTCAACATGAACAATGCTAGTATAATATGAATCACTGGGAGAAGGTTAGCCAGAAAATGATTTGGGCAACACAGTGATACATTTTGATTCTTTGCTTTAATAACCTGTTTAATTCACCTGCCAGAAAGTTTTAAGCAAGCATGTTTTGGCAGCAAACAATACACTATTAAATGTGTTGTCACCAAATGCTGCATCATTTTGGGATATGTGTCTTGTGGACAAAGAAAAGATTTTCTCTATCCGTAGGTTTCCAGTTTAAGAAACTAGCTTTCTTTCTTTCCTTCTAAGAAAAAGCAGTTCAGATTTGCTTCTTTAAAGAGGCTGTTCAGCTATGTATTTTAGTACAGATTTTAAAGGATTGCTGTGCTAAAGAAATATTAATTATGAAACAGGAAGAATTACATACTTAGGAAACCTCTGAAGTCATAACCACACTTAACAGGGAGTAAGCACTATTGAATTTCATAGGACTTACTTCTAAGTAGACATGGTTAAGAATGCAGCCTTTAACCTGGGTTTCAATGACAGCTTATGGATTTCCATATGAACAGTGGGGTCTTTCCAGTCCACCTTTCTACTGCATACCTATCTTAACCTCTGAAAATCTGCTCTTTGTGGTTAGGAGAACCCTCTGAAATGTAATTCCAGCATGATGCAAAGGAGTGCAATTTGAAATGAAAACTGGCATTGTGCCACTAACGCACCACACCCTTGAGTCACAGGACTTCATGCTTTTGCAGTGCTGTTTGGATTCCTGCTATTACTTTTTTATGTCGCTTTATACCAAGATAGCCAACATAGGGGCCATCAGAAGTTGCTGGGGTCCAAATCCCAACATCTCCAGCCAGCAAAGCCAGTGGTCAGGGATGATGGGAGTTGGAGCCTGAAAACATCTGGACGGCACTATGTTGGCTATTAATATGTTGTGTTTTGTGAAGCTCCCCTTCTGTAGGTCTTTAAACACCATATCATATGTAGGTGCACCAAAACAAACTAGGTTGTGTGTCTCTGTTGACAAAAACCTCTTTAATCCAGTGTAGAATTTCTGAGTGGAACAGGGAGGGAAGGAAGGAAGGAAGGTGACATTTGCATATTCATTCCCTCCTCCCATGTAGCCCCATCATGGTCCCCTTTGGTTCCCTTGGAGGACCTTATGAACAATTTGGCAGGTGATGCAAATGACTGCAGTGAGGGGGTGAATCAGCAAAAATAGCTTCCTCCTCATTCTACTGAATTAAAAAAATCTTCCATTTGTGGTGGGACACCATTGGATACAACCCAGTAAACTTAGTTTCCTTTGCCAAGTAACCATCAACAGCCCTGATTTAATCTACCCAATGTTTGTTGCATTCTTTCAGAGAAAAAACTATGATGTCTGACCACAAAGCCACTGCCAGCTATCAAATTAGTCTCAGAGAACATTAGTATGGAACAGGAATACATAATGCAGCTTAATATGTCTTTGAAACCGAGGAATATTTTATCACACTTCTTCCCAATATGATCTCATAAGTACATTTCTCACCACACTGTTAAGTCATCCCATTCTTTCCTTGGGTATTGGCAGAAAGAGGCTACCTGTGTGGAGGTGCTGATGCTGCCAACTTTGGCCCTATGTCTTGTCTTGTTCTACAGCTCTTACCTTCTGGCCACAGGGGGCACCTGGCTCCAGCTGTAGACTTCTAACTCAACAGCTAGAATTCTTAATAGAGAATTTGGGTCTGCATTTGTAGTAAACACTGTGTAGAAAAAAAGAAGGGGCAGCTAAGCACTGTGGTTTTTTGCATTTGCTTTATATGGTCTGTTTCAATATATTCTGCCTCTGTAAACATCCTAATGTTTTGCTTCTGAATCTTATGAAGTATTTTTAATGTTGAATAGATACATTTTTGCAGCCATTCTCGCATTTTCATCTGCCTGCTTTCCAATACGAAATGGGCCAAGCACAGCTGTACTCGCAAAATAACATATATCTTTGCGTCCTTACATTGTGTTTTGATTTTTCACAGCATGCCATGCCATTCTGGAGGATCACAAGTCACTCTGACCTTATGGCCCTTCATCATGCCTTGGAACTGGAGTACTTATAGTAGCACTTTGTAACCCCAGAACTTCCCTTGCGCCCATGGACAGTGTGCCTGCAACTTGTGTCATTGCTGGGCTACAGAAATTTGTGATTTCATCATGTTGATGTACAGCTGCAACTGGTCTCAACCTTTGCCCTAGCAGTAAATGGAGGAGCATGTCTCTCATCTTCAGAAACAGCTGTTGATTATAGTACTGTGAATCTAATGAAAACAAGCCATGATGAGAATGTTTAACAGTGTGTCCTTATCACATTCACCACATTGAAACGTTGGTACCTGTGAAGAGACTGGGAAGTGCTTTGTGGTTTCTAGAATCTTCATTGTGGCGCACATACACCTTCTTAAATACAACAAACTTGATTGCACAACAAAAGACTGAGCTTTTTCTTTTCTTTTTAAGAATCCCATGCATACATTTCTTGAAAACGTTTACTTTCCCCCACCCCCACCCCTCTCTTTCTCTCTCCCTCTTTTAGTTTCTCAGACCCAGGGTACTCTGTAAATCTTTACTTATTTATGAACAGACTCTGTTTTGGCACCATCACCTAAATGTGGAAATGTATGATAAATGAAAGGCTGTAATGAGTGTTTGCCTTCTGATAACAAATTGATTTTGAATTTTAGCACATTGCAAAGTAGTTTAAAGTATGTCTAATTTAAGCAAATAGGTACATCACTGAGACAATCGTGTACAGGAAGAATGTTTTGGTGTAAATTTGTAATGAATGGATGACGTTTTACATATTGTTTAGGCAAATACTATTGAAAGGTAGTAATGGCTTTTTGGTGAAATATGAGGCAGTGTATGCACAAACTATTGTGCTGTGCCTTATGAAAGTATTGTGTATAAATATGTAGATAATTGATTTTTTTTTAGATCAATTTGTCAAGACCAAAAGCATGGATGTCAAGTGTCAATAAGGAATCACTTTTTATTCTTTCTGTTCTTTCTTCTGGTTTTTTCATTGGCAAATCTATTATATCTAAACATACCTCCCCTACTTGCACCATGCCCATCATGGGCTTCTTGTTTACATTTTGTACTTGCCTATAAGTGCAAAATATATGGGCCTCACATCAGGTTAGAATGGTTTACGTGTTTAAATTGCCAGTTTTCTTGACAAAATACCTATGTTTGATGAAGGCTTGATCTGGCTCTGTTTCAGTGTGTTTTGCCAAAAGAAGCAGCAATTTAAATACACATGTGTACTTTCAACTGATGTCATTTTTTGCTCAGGTATTATACCTGAGTATAAATGGTATATTGAAGTGATCTCTTTCGTTTAATTGGCTTTAATTTAGCTTTACTGCTAAACACTGAATGTGGGGTAAGTAAATAATTTATCTGTTGATTCCCCCCCCCCCAAAAAAAGGTAGAGAACTGGGTTTTTTAAAAGTATGTCATGTAACATATCTTGACTTTTTGAAAAATCGGAACAAAGTGTTCATGCACTGAAAAACTAAAACTGAATGCAACCACTTTATTTTCAAGTGCAAAGGGAGAGGTCTTTCTGAGATCTAGTGAGTACATACTAAATTAACTATGGCTCATCAGAAACTTATTGCCATCTCGGTCCCTTTCTTCTCAAAAAAGTAATATTTTTTTGCTTGAATATTTAAAATTCTTTAAACCTCACACAGATCTGTTGAAAAACGGGCAGAATGTAATGACAGTTCTAGTTTCACAATGAGCAGCTGTCAAGCAAACTGATGTAACACTGTGATAACCTAGTAAAATATCAGGTGGATGGGGCAAAGCATGGCTGTGAGTGTTGGTTTGCATTAGCTGTTGAAACAGTTCATGCCCCCAGCCTCCCCTACCTTTATTGTGAGAGTACCCCCCCCCCAAAAAAAATGTGGCTTACAGTAAGTATTGAAATTATTATGCAGCTCAAAAATAAACAAACACTGATTTTGTAAAACCTTCAAACTTTGAGTGTGAGAATTTTGGCACACAATTCTTTTACCTTTAGGCCCACAGTATGAAATTAGAAACTGGCAAATGTCTGGTGCATCCTTAATTTTAACCAGGAACCAGATTTTTCTATTGGTCCATTGCCGGCAATGGGCATAGTAAAAATAGTCATTGCCAATTTTGTTAAGACTGTTTGTAACTAGCTTCTATTACATTTGAACTGTTCCCATCTTCTGTAACATATGAAGATCATGAACAATCTAGTCACTTTCTTTAAATATTATCAGTGTGATTCTCTTAACCATGGTTAACATCCTCTTCCCTCCCCAGAGAGAATTCCTCCCTCCTGCTGATAACTGGGGTAAAGGAATACATTAACATCAATGTCATTATGGTTAGGGGTAACCAGTTTCCTCAGTTGGGTTTACTGGGCTGCAATCCTACACTCTTACCAGGGAGTAAGCCCAATTGAACCCAGTGGGATTTATTTCTGAGTACATGCACAGGATTCTATTAAGGTGGAAATGTCAGATTTGCAGATCAGAGGGTTGGGAGAAGGGAGTACCTGATCCTGCAACCTGCCCCTAATCTTGTAAATGTGGTTAAGGGAAGGCCTTTGATACAGCTGCATGTGGTTTATATGGCTCCCCCACCCCCCCCTTTTTTTTTTTGCCTAAACCTTGGTACTTTTTTTCCATTGGTGTCTTTCTTAGACTTCAGCAGCAGTTATTTTAGTCCTTTCTTAAAGTTCTTGTTGTTTTTTGCGACATAAACCAGCTTTTAAGCCAGCTACAAGCAAACATAGTAACTGTGAGGTAAACACCCTATTTTTGTGGAAGATGCATACTGCTGCTACACTTTATAATTATGTTATGGATTGTTTCACATGGTTTGATTTTAAATATGCCCCCCCCCAGCCTTCAATAACTTTATGTACCAAGAGCAATCCAATTCAGGGACTACTCACAGTCTGTAAAGTTTAGCACATATACACAAATCTTTTAATGACAGGGGCTGTAATTAGTTTTTCCCCCTTTTTTGCTTTAAGCAAAATAGAGATGAACTTTCCCCCCTTTGTTTCAATTTTTTGTAGTCAACATGCTGACTAAAAAAAAAGTTTGTCTGGGCCTTATTGTACAAAAAGTGTGTTGTGTCCACAACTGTGTACAGAAATTTTCCTTCCTTCATTTTGTGTTTAAATTAATAAAATTGATTTGTGACATATTAAAGAGTTTTATCTTGGATGTATTTGATTTCTCCCATCCCTTAATACATATTTGCTCAGACTACTGCTTACAGTTGCCAGAGATTTGCACCTGGATGTAGGAAAGAAAATTCAAGTTCAAACATCCACTTATTTTTGAAGTTAAGCTCCACACTATCGGCATAACCTACCTCATGGGTTCTTGTAAGGAAAAATATGCTGCTCTTGAGTTCCCTAGCTGAAATTTAGGTTACAATATTAACAAAGAAAAAATACCTTCTCATAATTCAGTCCCCAAAAGAATTGTGTGCTTCAAAATTATTTTATTTCAACTTCCCTTGGAGTTACAAAGGCCAACCCAAGCATTTGCTGTGAGTCTCTTGGCAGAGTTGCACAATATCCATATAGAAAAGGGCCTGTCGAGGGGTAAGCTAGTCTCCTTAGAGTAGGAGATTTGATCAGGGCCTCAGCAAAAGAACTTAAGTGGTGGGCGGCAGGACTCATGAGAGAAGGTGTTCCCTGAGATAATCAGGACCCAAGTCATTTAGGACTTTAAATGAAAAAGATGGCATTTTGAACTGATCCTGGAAACAGTCAGTGCAGATGCTCAAAGCAGGTAGTAACTTTCTGTACTGATAGCAGAGTATATAACCCAAATTGTGGGGAGGAGGGTTGGTAGTAGTTCATTTTGAAAGGCCACACACACACACACACACACGGTTTTTTGCTCATTTTAAAAAGCTAGCTTCACTTACGTTTGTTTAAAAAGAATAAAGATCATTGCTGGATCCGTATTGGGAATATACGAAACAAAATGACAATGTAAGCACTGACAGGTTGGTTTGAGAGTTTAGCCGATGTTATACGTACCAAGTAATCAGAAACGGAACCCCAGACAAATCAGAAAGCAATGCAAATGCCTACAAGACTACATACACCAATTCAAAACAAATGCCCACAAGGTTTCAACCACAAGAGGAGATAGCATGACATCAGCCCAAGGCAAGACTTCATCAGTGGAACAGGCAGATCATCCTGCTCTCTGTTGTCCAGTGAGTTCTTCTTTGAAGCTGCACCTTCAGTTGACACAACTGGACCTAATTGTGTCAGGTGTTCACATTCGCTTACCTTCTCCCCCCCCCCTTTTATCACCCTCTCCCCTTATGCTAGAATTCTCCATTCCCTGTCCTTGCAAAAATTGACTGATGACCTCACAGGACGCTTGCAGGTATTTTCTTTTGCTGATGCCTATACAGTGAGATATACCCACACAAAACGTATCTGTGCTTACACAAAGTGTCTAGGTGTAAGTAGTTCCCTTAAGATCCAAAGGCATGATCTTTAACCTATTTTTCTAACGCCCCTCACCATTGAGCTTGAATATCCCCTCATTGTTTTCTTGATCATTCCCTTGTATACACAGTGCTACCTCTTTGTTACCTTCCAAATCCCACCAGCTCTGCATGGCTCTGGTCCCAACTTTTTAGCATCCAGTCCAGGCATGATCTGCATATTCCAACCATCTGTATATTTTTGTTAGCTGCAAGCGTTAAGTATAAATGTCACACTGATTCAGAGCAAATACTTTGCTCATGTCAGGGCAGTTTGACCAGGATAGAGGTATGTGTGTATAGAACAGGAAATTAAAAGTGATGTGATTTGGCTCAGGTGTCTCAAAATGAGATAAATATTTTATTTTAGCCCATAAAATATTTTCAGTACACAGCACCATGAAATTCAAAGAAGCAAATAAAGCATTCTCATAAGAAACATGCATACATCAAATTAATGGTTTGTGCCTACAACCAGGGATTGGTCATTTATGACAGTTTTTGGAAATTGAACAGAAGACAGATATGCTTATATACTCCATCTCTTCTGGTTTAGGTGTAATAGGTAATGGTTGTGACCAAAATAGTAAAGGGTAATAAATTGTCATGTAGGATTCTCATAGTTTAAGGCTACCACATGGACCTGTTCTTGAAGTAGTCCTCCCATATATGCTACAGTGGCTCTACGGGATAGGCCTCCTAACAACAGATGGACTGGGAGCCTTTCTAGTAGGGCTGAATTTCAACCAATCCAATAAGTCATATGTTTTTTCTGCATAGCAACTCATGAGAGAGGCCTTATGGCTGAGTGAACAGGCAAATGGAAGAAATACCTCCATGAGGTCAAACATAAAATATGTAGGGGAGTGGAAAGAGTGTGTGGACTCGATGGCCCTTGTGGTCTCTTCCAACTCTATGATTCTATGATTCTATGATTTTGAGGAAGGAATTTTTTTAAGAGGGGATTTTTTTAATCTGGCAACCCAGCCAGATGGGAGGGGTATAAATAATAAAATTATTATTACTATTATTACTAAGTTGCTTGACGTTTTCAGCGTGAGGCCTTTGCCCCATTAACCCCAGTGGATCAACCCGCACTGGTACCAACCTCCTGGAATTGAGGACGAAGTTCACTGTCATTGATCCGGTCTTCCCAACATATCGGGTTGGGAAGCATCCAGTTTTGGGGAGGATGGTTATCATGCCCTTTCCATGGACAATTCCCTGGTGAGGCTTGGATTGGCTGTGACTGATCCCTCTCTCCCCCCTGCCAGTGGGATGGGGGACCTATTAATATGACCCAGCCCAGGAGGTATTCCTGATTGCTCTTGGGGAGCTTCCAATGATTTGGCTGGCACGCCTGTTGATGCCTTAGTCTTGTTGTGGTATGTCAAGATGAGGAGGGCTCATCTACCCCTGCTCTCTGATCTGGTGCAAGTTCTTGGTACACTGAGGAGTTCAAACTATGAAACAGGTTAGAGGCACATGTGGCGCAAACCCAGTAGTGAATGCAACTCAGCAAAGGTTAGAGGAAGGGGGATTAAGAAATAATAATATTAATAATAATAGTTTTTATTTCCATGTGGACCAAAATGCCTTTACAATGAATGCCAAGATGTGCCACCTCCATCTGGAGCACTTATGGTCCCCAATATCTGTTTTCCTTTCACTTTGTTATTGCACCATGGTGCTATGCTGCAGTTGGCAATAGCTACAAAGCCATAACCCACCAGAATGCCTATATTACGCAAATCCAATTGAAAACACATGTAAACGTAACAAGCCGTATAGTAACAATTGCAAAGTTATTTAGAACTACTTCTCAAAAATGAGATACCACTTCTCATAATGTCACAATCAACCTCGTGACATAATATAATAAAAATGTAACTTTTCGGTTGACCACCAAGTCCAGTATGTACAAAATACAAGTCCTATGTAGTCAGTGCCGTAGTACATTCTTTTCTAATTTCTTCAACTCTCTTGTATTTTTCTGTCTGACGTATTCCTTAGAAGAGTGGCATGAAATAATCTTCTAAGTGTCCAATAAAGGTGATTGGGTTGGCAGACAAAAGAAACTGGCACTGATGGATGCTGGCACAGGCAGACAAGACAAGGATTCCTGGATATTCCCCTGTTTCACCTGAAGGGGCTTCATAAGCTGTGCATAGTTCAAAATCATATAAACATAGACACTTTGTAGTATGATAGCTACATAAATTCCAAAGTAACATACAAGGATATAAAGAATGTACCTACCGGTACTATATGTAACAGCTACATGAAGCTTAGGGACGCGGGTGGCGCTGTGGGTTAAACCACAGAGCCTAGGACTTGCCGATCAGAAGGTTAGCGGTTTGAATCCCCGCGATGGGGTGAGCTCCCGTTGCTCGGTCCCTGCTCCTGCCCACCTAGCAGTTCAAAAGCACGTCAAAGTGCAAGTAGATAAATAGGTACTGCTCTGGTGGGAAGGTAAACGGCATTTCCGTGCACTGCTCTGGTTCGCCAGAAGCGGCTTAGTCATGCTGGCCACATGACCTGGAAGCTGTACGCCGGCTCCCTCGGCCAATAAAGCGAGATGAGCGCTGCAACCCCAGAGTCAGTCACGACTGGACCTAATGGTCAGGGGTCACTTTACCTTTACCTTACCTTACATGAAGCTTATTTGTAATGAATTCTCAGTCATGGTGAACCAGTAAGTCTGAGTATTATATAAGAGGGGACCACTGACTAAGGCAACATATATGGCCTATTACGTTTATGTGTGTTTTCAATAGCTACAAAGCAGCACCGACTCACAGCATTGGACGGCTAGAGTGCTTTGGGTCAACTCATGGTGCCACATTTGTGTCACTGCTTTGATAAGTTGGATCCCATCCTAGCACAGTCGTTCACAGTAGATTACTAGGCTGCACAATGAGCTTTTAAAAAAGAAGTCTTGTTAACACAATGTTAAGGCATTATTTCAAATAAAACTTACATTTCTATAAAGGTATCACTAATCAGTTTGTCATCTGGATTTAAAAACCATGTGCTCAGGAGGATTAGCACCAGGAAGCTGGAGGCTTACAAATTCCATGTCCTTGTACTCTTTAGAAAGAATACCACAAGCATGCAATGGAAAGCCACAGTCTAAGAATTAAGGCTGTGTGTCATGTTGAATAGTCTCTTTTTTGCCAGCATGTTTTGAGCATTACTCGTATAGTTAAAGAAAAGCCTGACCAGAGACAATTTTAGAGCTCAAAATCATGCCAGATACACAAGTTTTAAAGCTTAGACTCCATACTGAGACAGATGAAAGAGTGTTTAAGCAGCTTTGGAAAATATCCAGCGTTAAAGATTTTCCTATACGTTTCAGGTACTTCATTCAACTGCATCTAGAATGGAACAAAAGATATTATTGTGTGATTGAAGTATTAAATTCCTATTGTATCAAATACCAGTGCTGTGACATTGGAACATTGGAACTCATGAAGAGGTTAAAGTGAGAGGCTATGTTTGCAGACCCTCCAAGTGTCCCTATTTTCCAGGGACATCCCTGATTTAGAGAAGCCGTCCTGGTTTCTGATTTGATCCCAGGATGTCCAGCTTTTCCTTAGCATGTCCCTATTTTCATTAGAGAAATGTTGGGAGGGTATGGAGTTATCTGACCCCCAAGCTGTCTTAAGGCAATCCTGTTTAGAGAAGTTTTGTTTAATGTTTAATG